AAATATGTAATGACTGTGAATTGGTTGATTTACTGTGAAGGAATGGCAGTATTATCTATCATTTATACAAATTTGTTAAACAAATGTTTTCTAGAAACAATTAGAAGCAATATTACACTAGAAAACAAATGCTCTCACAATTTCTTTGTCCCAACAAACATCAATTATGTTAACTTAATTGTGTTTACAAATTTAAGTAGACTGAACATAAAAAATTGTCCACCCAAAACTTAAGATTTGTGTTGTTTCAACTTATTTTAAATAAGTAGTTTGAACAAGCAACAAAAGTCATTTTTGTGTACAATGTCGTTTATTTTCCAATGAAGCAATGTGTTTTTTGAACAATTACTCCCCTTTGATTCATCAATGTGGCGACGTGTTTTAATTACTTCTGTAAAATTTCGGGCACCACAAAATTGCTTGTACCCACAGCCATGTACAGAAGAAATGTGCTTTATTTTGAGGTCAAATACTAATGTTTCAACCTTTCAAAATGCTATAATATATGCATAACAAATAATATATGAAGTAAATAACAAAAGAAAAGAAAATAGCAAATAAATATGATAAAATATTTAATAAAGTAATGGTGCCCTTTAGTTGTGACACCATTTAACAAAAATCTATTGTTTTGAAATAAAAGACCCTTATGTGACTTAACTTGACTTTCTTTTTCTTATTTTCTTATCGCCAAAAAAGAAATGCTCATTGAAACTTCACTGTCATTTTTGAGTTACCCGAAATTGATTAAATGATCAAAAAAACATAAAGCCGTCAGCTATGTGTTTTCATAAAGTCAAAAGGTAACTGAGTACACCTGACAAAAGTCTATCAAAGTTTTAGGAACAACAAATAATAACTTGACTTCTAGTTGTTCATTTGGTATCAGAAGTGGCTTATATGAAAGCCAAAGGCCTCTAGATTACGCTTATTTTACCAAAACTAAAACTTTGATTATGCCATAATTTTTAATGATTTAATTAAGACAGTTAGGCCTGACTTTGCCTAAACAAACGTCTTGTCACTTAACAGAAACAGTGTACACTATAGAATATACTTTCATGGTGCAGTGGAAAAAGAATTAATAATGTGTATGACCCCATGAGCTTGGACGACAGCATCCATACATCTCTGCAATAACTCAAATAACTTCATCAAGATTCTTTGCATTCATCTCCAATGGCTCCATCTTGCCCCAGTCATGCTCAATAATGTCCATGTCTGGTGACTGGGCTAGCCAATCCTGAAGCACCTTGAACTTCTTTGCTTTCAGGAAGTTTGATATGGAATCTGAAGTATGAAAAGGAGCGCTATCCTGCTGAAGAATTTGCCCTCTCCTGATTTGTAATGTAATAGGCAGCACAAATGTCTTCTTTAGGATGTTGATGTTGCCATCCACTCTGCAGATCTCTTGCACGCCCCCATACCGAATGTAACCAAAACCACGACTTTTCCTTCACCAAACCTGACTGATTTCTGTGAGAATCTTGGGTCCATGTGGATTCCAATTGGTCAAGTTGCTATTTGTTTCCCTTACAACTGGAATTGACGACAAGAGTTTTTTTCAGGTATAGTGTAATGTGGTCCATGTTTAAATGTTAAAAAGAAATAGTTGCAAACCAAAAGTCTAAAGTAACACATATAGAATTATGAGGTTATGGCACATCAATTATTTAAATATCTTTGTATGCTTAAAAGCATGTTTGACTTCAAATATATTTTTACATTTCTTCAAAATCAAGCCATGCAAGGAGAGTTTTTAATTTATTCAACAGAACACTGCAAATATAACAACAAATGCCCATAGCCAGAACATACGTTTAAGATGTCACAAATAATTAAAATTACAAAATGTAAAAATTCTAGTGTTCTACAGTTGAAGTGTATTTGAATTTTGAAATGAATTTTCTAATAAAACTGCATGTGGTATGTGTTGATTAATGAAATAGTTAAGTCAATGTCTATAACCACTTTTGGTGAAAATAAAATACAGTGGGAATCAAAATGAAAGAACAACCTACAACTTTACAAATCTGCTTAGTCACAGGGTATCCTTACAGGAAAAATAATAAAAAAAACTGTTTGTGTAAAGCATATTTCACAAGCTACATTTATTCTGGAAAATTTCCATTCACATATCCAGAATTGCATCCTTATATTGTCACTAAATCTCTGAAATCTCAGAAAAGACACAATATTTGTAAAAGTGGTTAGCTCTGAGCAGATTTAAGTTCTCAGCACAGAACTTTGTCTCAATGTTAAGGCAATCTGAACAGAAAGTCTTCACTGAGGAGCATATTTTGTGAACAAAAAAAGTTATCTAAAAATTCCTTTAATGATAAGGAAGTTTAATTTAAATATACCTGATGGAAAACATGTTTGAATCCAAAGTTTTCAAAGAAGTGAACAGTGGAGGTGAAGTGATGTGGTTTGGTGGATGTTTTCTTTAAAAGTGGTTGGGCTTCTTATACAGATACAGGGCAGCGTGAAGGCAAATGTTTATCAGAAGCTCCATGGCAACATGCAGTCCATTCCTGGCAATCATTGTTCAATCTGCCAGCAATTTTCATGCGGGACAATGAGCCTTGTCACACAGCAAATTGACTAAAGCAGTTTAATGAAGCTGAAAACACTCAAATAATAAAACGGCAACCCAGAGCCCTGAACTAAACCTGACTGAAAATATCCAGAAAATCTGAAAAAGACTAAAGAAGAGACTGATATTTTGACTGTTGTAACCAAAACTCATTGGGGCAAATATCGAAATGTTATACAAAATAATAAAACTAATTAACCTTTAATTATAGAATTAGTTCAGCTCTGATATAAATCAGACCATATTCTTGTGCACTACAGTAACCTATACCAGTATTATCCACTAAAACCACTGTGTCAGATAACAAATATTTCCTGTCTCTCTCACCTCATTCACAACTATCCGTTTGCCGCCTCTTTCTCTTTACACAAGAAACTGACAAAAAATTCTGGAAAGACTTCAACATTTCTGAGAGGTTTGTCAACAGACGTACGTTTATGGTTTGGCAACCCCTAACAGATTAATGCATTCCTGAAAGCAGCACACGTGTAAACAGGCACACAAACACACACATGAACACACACGCACATAAGATTCTAGATTCTTCCGTAGAGGTGGAGATTTCTATTAAAGCATCACAACAAACGCTTTTTCTTAAAGTCTGAAAGTTTTACCCAAAACTTTAAGTTCTGTCATGATTTGCTTACCCTGAAGTTGTTCCAATCCTTAATTAAAATTATTTTAGAAATTGCTGATCTATTGGGGTTTTACTTCACAATCATCTTAATGGTTTATGGAGAATGGTGTGAAAAGATAAAGTTTCCAGCAAGTGTAAATCATGGTTCGGGTTAGCTAATAGAAAGGCGCTCAAATAACCCCTTTTCACAACATCTATAAAAGAGACAACAAATCAAACCATGAAGCAGGTGAGCTACAGCAGCAGAAAAGCAGACATGCTCACTAAAATTGCACACTAATATTTGGGTGATGCGATGAGTCTTTTTATGCAATATTTCGATAGTATATAGACTTTTTCAATGTGGTCATGTCATTGGCACACAAACATTTCCTGCTTGTTCTCAAACTATTTCATAACTGTAACAAGAGGCAGTTTAATCATAACTTAATGTTAAAACAGCAATCATAACATTATTTATCAAGTATATGTGGCTCGTTTTGGATTCTCAGTAGCTACAGAAATTCTAAATGTAAAAGAGGAAATAGGTTGGGACCAATGTTTTCGTTTACATCCTTCAATGGTCTATAGGGTCAACATTTGATATAAACATAATGAAAGCATTGATCCATTCAGCCTTGTACACGTCAAGGAAATCTTTTTGCTGCTTGTTTATTATTGCTTATTTAAAATGAGTTTAAACTATTTTTTTTTTTTTGCGACAGTGTAATTGTTTTATGTTCAATAAACTTAATATTGTAAAAACCATTAAGTTAACTTTATCAATTTGTTTTGGCACGACATGAAGAGATTGCGTGTAACCCAGCATGTTCAGTGTACCTGTGGTTCAGGCTGGTGGTGTAATGGTATGGGAAATATTTTTATGATCATCTGACCATCGTTTAAATGAGTTATATTGTTGCTGGCGGTGTCAACCTCTTTATGACCACAGGGTTGCCATCTTAAGACGGTTATTTCCAATAACCCCAAAAAACAAGCACATTTGACCTGTATGCCTCACTTTCCTGGAAGATTTAATGCCTTTTCGATGCAATTTAAGAGTTCAGACTTGCAGTTTTAAAATAGACTACATTATTGGTCCAGTTTACAACACTGGTTTGAGCTGTTTTGGTTTAGGTTGAATTCCTTTAGATTTAATATACAGCAGAATCGAACATCTGTTATATTTTTATAGTGTTCTTGCAGCTGTCTGATAATTGAAAGCTTATAATCCACATTCACTCCCAACCATGCAATTTTGTTTAATAGACATTGAAACATCGACATATTTGCAAAAACAAGGCTAAATTTGGGCTGTCAGTGAAAATCTAACAGACGTCTATAAGTATAGCCCAGCACTGGAATACTTGTCAAATACAAAGAAACACAACCATTGATTGACATGTAGTCATGCTTTCCTGCATACTCAGTCTAGTTGAGCTTCGATTAAATTACTAACATCTGAAGTTTATCCTTGTTTTAGCAGAGTTGTCTATCGCTAAAATGCTTGCTGGGTGAAATTGCAAAAAGGTCAAACAGCAACATTCCTAATTTTATGCCTTTGTGTTTCTTGGAAGTCAGTCAGTCATACCGGTTTGTAATAAGCTGATTTACCAACTGAAGCTGCAAAGTCATTTTTTACAATCACTTCCTTTGCAGAGACCAACTTTAATTCATAAAATTCTATGAATTCATAGCTACACAAAAGCAAGTTTTTTTACAAAAATGAAACCAAGCAAACACCAAATTTGTTCTTAAGAACTGAAATCATGAACACACTCACACAACTCAACCTACAATAATTTTATTACAAATTTATCAGTTTTATATACACATTATTTACATAAAACATAAGACACAAAATGTACAACAATTCTATGAAGACAGAACAGCTCTCCATTCTTCCGACCTTAAATAATACTGTGAATTCATATAAAATCCTTCTTCCTATTGAAATCCACAGACAGACATGTAAAAGTGGTCGGCAGGTAACATGGGAGAGAATTAATTTATGCCTTGGTACAAGGTGTGTATTAGATTGATAAATAAGCTAGGTTTAACAGTGCTTTCCTTCATAAATTAAAAACGTACAAAAATATATAACAAACATGTTGTTAAGGAGGAGTCGGCGATCCGCAAACAGTTTCTGACAACGGAAAATGTACAAACAGTATCAAAAGACAAAATATGTAATCTCAATCAATCCAGAACAGTTCAATGGTAGAAAAAACAATGCCCTGAGCAAGTCCAGTAACCATCCATCACCCATCAGAGCTGGACATTTGAGCAGCATGAGTTGACTTCTATCCACCCAAAAAAAAAAAAAAAACCATGGTGCATTTCCACCAAACGTGTACCAAAACAAAAAAGTGCTCAGGCCCTGCACCGTCATGAGTCCCGGGGTAACAGTGCTTTCTCTCAGTAGTGCAATCTGTAAATATAATTAAAATCAAGGGCAAATTATTAAATATAATCATTTTACAGTAAGATACAGCTCTCTTTCTATTAACAAACCATTAACTATGACTTCCAGTTTAAAAAAAAACTCCTATTTTACAGCTTATTGATAGTTAAGGTAGTATTTTGGTTTAAGTATTGGGTAGAATTAGGAACGTAGTTTAGTTACTTTAAAACAGGGGTGTTCAAACTTGGTCCTAGTGGGCCAGTATCCTGCATTTAGTTCCAACCCCAATCAAACACACCTGGACTGGCTAATCAAGTTCATACTAGGCTTTCTGGAAACGTCCTGACATTATTTTGAGGCAAAATGGAGCTAAACTTTGTAGGACACTGGCCCTCCAGGACAAAGTTTGGACACCCCTGCTTTAGATCGGGTCTCAAACTCAATTCCTAGAAAGCCACAGCTCTGCACAGTTTTGCTCCAACCCTAATCAAACACAGCGGATTCCACTAATCAAGGTGTTCAAAACTACTAGAACTATTAAGCAGGCGCGAGTTTGAGGTGGTTGGAGCAAAACCATGCAGCGCTGCGGTCCTCTACGAATTGAGTTTGAGTACACTGATTTAGAACATGTACTGCTTTAGTACATGTGCAACTGCCATCTTTATAGGGAGAATCACTACCTAAATTAAACCGATACTAAAAATGAATATAACAAGGTAGACAGTTTGGAGCATTTAAATGTGGCTGAGAAACTACTCTAAATTCGTTCATTCATTTATCTGCAGTCAAACTAAGAAACTCTAGCCCACATTAAGATCACAAAGAGCTAAAAATGTGCATTTAGAAAATGATCCAATCCCAAAACAAGAACTACAAAAGATGGAATAAATTTCTCAATAAACTTAAAAGGCAAAGGCTCATGTAATCAGATAACTGGTCTAACCGGCAAATTGGTCTCAAAAGTTCAGCTTCTTACATGCATTCTTACATTATTATTCTAAAAACGCCTGAGCCAATGTCTGTCATCATAGTTAATTGGTAAACATCAGGCATCCACCTCCCAACTCAAAACAAAACTTCATTTGTTATTCATCTGCTCATTCATTATTATCTGTGCACACACACTTGTGCAGGAATGGGAAGAAAAAAAAAAAAAAACTAAAACTGGCATTCTTACTTGATTTAATTTGTATTAATACTATTAGTACGCATTAATATGCACCAATTTCAGAAGTGACCGGTTTGAGCTATTGAGTGGATGGGATGGTATGGTTATTTATAGCATATTTAAGTGAATCATGAAAGCTAAACACACAACTTTAAATAAAAAGTGGCAAATTACTACATTTAACCGTTTTAAGGGGAGTCTACCGTGACCCTGGTTTGTTGTTGCATTTGACGTGCACAAAAATGTGAATGGTAGAACATGCATGTATACATACCGTTTCCTGGGTTTTACTTCCCAGCCGTCCCGGCATTTAACAAACATAATCTCTTCTCCTGGCGAGATCTCAGTCTCTTCAGCACAGAAAGTGAACCTGTGAATGCAACATGGCATTAATAAACAACGAAGGTCAATTTACAAACTCAAGCGATAAATGCCAAGGAGACACTCACTTCTTTTGCGTTTCTCCTGCTTTGACTCTGATCCTCCGAACCTCTAGAATCTTTTGGCTTGCTGCACTCGACCATGAAAAGAACGAGGACCCCAAGTGTTTTATCGCGGATGTCCAAGAATCAGAAGGTCCTTCCCAGCGAAGTGAGATTTTGAGCAACTCACCGATGTCCTCTTCAGTAAAGACCAGAAACGTGTTTGTGAGGTTTAAACCAATTCCTTCGGTACTGTGAATAAAACAAAACAGTTTTAATCTTGCTGAAGTTACATTCATTTTCAAAATACCCTATATAGAAGGTTGCAAAAGGATTAGTTCACCTAAAAATTAACATTACATGAGGGTGAATCATGACAGTTCCAAACCTCTGATTGTTCAAAACCAAAGACATTTTAAGGGCTCTCTTATCCTCCACAGTGAGCAACAGTCCAGAGAGTTTGAATGCTTAGAAAAAGGACCAGTGTAAAACACACCACGTGACTTCAGGAATTCAACTGGAACCATGTGAAGCTCTGAGAACACAGCAAAACGCTGTGAAAACCAGAGCTGGGACCAAGTCATAGTTCTGCAAGAGAAGCAAGTCTCTGGTCTTTGCATTTAGGATCCTAGTCAAATCCAGAGCCCAGTCAGACAAGTCCAAGTTAAGTCCAGAGTCTTCTATAATCAAGTTTGGGACTTGAGTCCAAGCAAAGACCCTTTAGGGTAAGCCATTTTACTCGGATGCCATCTTTGCAGGCACTCAAAGCAAGGAGATCCTGACACAACCTCATTTATGGTCATGTTACACATTATCATCCTCTGGGTAATGATCATCTGATCGCACTGGTCTTCTGAAGTAATCCACAACTTGGTCATGATGGAGTCTCCTCCAGAAATAACAGCGACTCGGTTTACAAATTTGTGGGCGTTTGAGTAGTTCAAAGACTACAGTCTTTGGCCCAAGTCAAGTGAGAAGAGTCTGGCTGCAGAAACAAGCAAAGCTGCATGGGACACTTTTAATGCGCACACCTAACCCCGCCCCCAACCCTACCCCTCACAGTGACTTCATGAGCTGTTCACCAATCTTTTTTCCTTCCTTGTCAGAATGCATTTACTATTGGGTAAGTTTACTATTACTAGTGCGTTAACAACACGTATCTTCAATAGAACTTATGGTGTCACACGCAAGTGTACAGCCTATATAGCATACACAATCTGACATGAAAGATTTGATCTTTTTGGTCAAAGAAAGTCTTTCTGTTCTCTGAACATGTCTGGACAGTTGCGGTCTGTTGAGCTCCCCGATTGAATCTAAAATATCTAAATTTATGTTCCAAAGGTGAATTCAGATCTCAGGGAATTGAAACATCAGGGTGAATGATTTACAAATGTAATTTAAGTGAACCAATTCTTTAATTAAGGACTACTTCAGAAATAGAACTTTAATCATGATTTACTTACACATCAACAATGAGATTACTGCTATCATTATAAGATCCATAAAGTTTGACATAGAAAGTGGGATCTGCATTCTCTGCGTTCTTCCTGTCGAACACATGCATCTTCATCTGATAGTGGTAACCTGTAGAGCATGGCAACAAAGAACATTTTTAGTGACTCATCATTACTGCGTGTGACTTTGAAACAAAAAGCCGTTCAAATTACTTACCACCAAAAGGCGTGTCAGCACGAGTTTTCAGGTACATCTTGCTGTTTCTCCGCTTACGCATTTTCTTGGCATTGTATCCAATGCTGTTGCAGCGGTTCTTCCGGCAGCTCAGACAAATGCCCTTCTTAAAGCGATCAGGGCCGGTACATTGAAAAGCATAGCTCACATGGTCTTTGTTCATGAGGGAATCCACAAAAAGATGAACAGCCCTCTCATGTTCGCACTTCATGGCTTCCATGAAATCTGTGGTGACAAAACACATTAAGTACGTTGGTAAAGATGAAAAGTGCCAAAGCAACAAAAAAGTTGAAGCACTTACTTCCAGAAGCAGCGGACAGAAACTCTCCAAAAGTGCAGCCAGGCTGAACGTCGCCACCATTGGGATAGATGTCAATGTGGCCAATTGGCTCCTGGATCCCAATACTGACACCCAAAGCTCCACGTGTGTATGTGTGCAGGACGTCGACAAAATCTGCATCGTCAGGAGAGAGTTTATTGTAGGAATCTGCTCCCTCAAACATGGGGCCAGCTGGGTCTAAACCTGTTCAAAGATGGATACATATTTAGATGTGGCCTCAATGTGTGCAAAATGGTGAGCGACTCAAGTCCTTCGTTACAAAACGCTTTAAGAAATGGACATCTGACCTGTTATACGGCCAATAATTCCATTTACAAAAGTCCCAGCATATCCAGCAACGTGAGCCCCAAGACTGTATCCGATTATGTGCACATTCTCGAGCTGGAGCTGCTCTTCTTCCTAAAAAAAATAAAACAAAAATTATTATGATAATTAATATTATAAGACTAATATGACATATGTTAATATGTCTTAAATTATATTCTATAATCATTATATTATTCAATTTATTAGTAAACAATGTGAAATTAAAAAAATGATTTACCTATTGTTTTTTTCTTACTAACTAGTAAAGCCAAGGTGAAATGTTAAAAATAAAAAAACATGAATATTGCATGAATCCAACTGGAAAAGCTTTTTAAAAAATAATAATAAAATAAAATTAAAAAAAAAAAAGATCCACATAATAAAAATATTCGACAAATGTTCTAGAATAGACTATTTATATGAAGGGAAACCTCTGGGAATTTTTGGAATCCCACGAGACTGATGAGATCAGTTTTGAGAGTTAAGAAATAAATAAACATTATGCTTTATGCACATCACTGCTGTACCATGTTCAATGCCAGCTGGGGCATCCATGGGCATCTGTGGGGGATTTATTACGCTCAGCTGCTCAATTACACTACTGGCTTTTTCCCCCCTCAAAAAGTGCTTCACACTCTAAAAAGAAATCAGCTACAGTGAATGAATAATTATGGTTCCATAGAAATACCCATAATGCCTTCAGCAAACTCCCGACATCAAACAACAAAACAAAACAAATCCATCTGGAAAAGACAAATTGTACTTCAACAGGACATCTGCTCTCCTAAGAAAAGATGAATAATACCAACAAAGAACCAATAAAATTGGCCACAAGCAGTCTTTACGGTTGCCAGTTCTCTCAAAAAAAAGCACAGAGAAAAACAAACACACCCAGCGGGATGTACAATATAGACATACCTGGAGCCAGTCCAAAAGTGTAGCTATGCTTTGCCCAACCCGACGAGTGTGGTTGACGGCATCAGGGTAAAGCTGGTTAGCAAGGCCCAGCCAATCCACCACCACCACATTGGCCTCGGACTCTCGTCTCTGAACAGCAGCCACCAGTTTGTGCATCCAGCTCTCAAACATCCCACTCATCTGTGAAAGACACCACACCCATTGACTTCCAGCAATCACGTGCCAAAATGCAATATTTGCTTTACATCCGAATTGTAAATGCATTGCTACAGTGAAGAGGGTTTTTTGAAGGGAGTACATTGTTATGTTTAGGTTCAAATAAATTTTTTTTAGAAGTTGTTTAATTGATGAAGCTTTTGTCTTTATATTTGGTTTTCTCATGATAGTGACAAAAGATTACTTTAAAAAGCATAACAACCAAAGAATATTTAGTGTTTTGTACATGTCCTGAGTTAATAAAGGTTTTAATCCAATTAAAATCGTAAAAGGATGATATGAAATACTAAAACCATTCAAAATAACAGTGAGAAATAACCATATTTTGCAGTATTTGAATGTTTAAGTTTGTTATAAAAAAACAAACAAAAAGAATTTCAAAGGTTAATAACTCCATTTAGTAAAATGATAAAGAGTTTTGATTTTAATGCATCAATGGGCTATTTTGGGCTTTCCGCCTGGATTTTGCAAACAAACAAAATTTAAAAGCTTTCCAAATCCACATGCATAGGTGTAAATGCACAAGTGTATCATTTTAAAGAAAAGCCTTTGAATTTTTATAAAACACTGTTGAAAGTGATTAAAATAATTGTACAAGTTGCCCGTGTTAGAATAAACCTTGAAAGCGTTTTTTTTTTTTTTGCAAACTGAAATTTGAAAGTGTACCTTTTAGGTTCTGTGTGGTCTATGTTGCTGTAATTTATTTTAATGGTTCTTGCACATGTCAGTAATCATAGGAAGAAAAATGTCTATCATAATCTATGCAAAAGTTATTCTATTCCAACTGATCAGAGAACAGAACCACTTAAGGGGTATTGGGCCAGTACGGACCCTTAAAACTTTAAAGAATGCAGTAGTAAATGATGTCATTGACCCGGTACTATGTACACAGAGTTTAGGAAGTTAAATAAGAGAGAGTCATTAGCTAATATTAATAAATGCTTATCTGATTGTCAATTTATAGACCTTAATTAATTTAACCTTATGTAGAACTTTACCATATAGAGTTAACTAACAAAAGACCTAATAATAGTCACAAAATGTAGAGTGAATTGTATAATGTTGGAGGCCAGGTTAACAATTAAAATATTTGTTTTTGTCTTCAATCATTAGGTGAAGTGATGAACACCACTGCACACTGCAATACACATCAATCTGAATATTCTTAAAAGTAACTCAAAGATACATAACCAAATATTTCACATAACTATAAAGTTCCCATGATATCGATATTGTTGTTTTTTTTTTTTTTTTTTTTTTTGATAATTGGAATTGAACATCATCATACAGTATGTCTAACTACATTATATTAAAGGATGAGCCAAAATAATGAAAAAAATAATAATTGGGCACATGATTTTTCTTAAAATCTCACCGTCCAACCGTGGATGATTAGAATTGTTCTAAGTGTAGCATTGAACCCACACGCCACAATGCTTTCCTTTTTCCCCGGTTGAAGGTAACATGCTCCGTCATCGAGATCCAAGGACTTCCGCATGTTGTAGCTGATTTTGTCATGAAGTACCGCTGAATCTGTTGGGAAGAAATTCTCTGCATCTTCTAGAACGAAACAAAAAGCAAACAAATATTAGTGGAATTTATGCAAATATCCAAAGTAATACTACAGAATTTTGTTGGTTAATCGGTTTTAATATTTCTACAAATGCTTAATTGTTTTACAAGGCGTTGAGCTTCAGTCTATTATAAGCCTTGTGACAACATCTCGTTTTAATGACTAGCTTGAACAATCAGGCCAGTGTAGACAGAGGGGTATGCAGAGTTTGTTTTTGAACAAATGAGTTTAGCAGTAGTGGAATGCCAAATATAGTCTTTGATTGGGAATTATTTGGGATTGGGAGTTTATAAACAGTTTCAAAGAGTTTCATACACAACTTATTAACCCAAGCAAGACTGCAGTTACGTCATCATAACCAGTTAGAAGTAAGCTATGGTGGGAATTTATAATCATAACCTTTCAGAGTATAATTTGTAAGCCTTTGTGTCTTTGTAGGGATTTACCAGAGTAATGTATAAGGACAGATGAAGTCTTGTGTGGTTGGTATGAGACATTTAAAGCCCTTTGGCTCACAAGGCTGTATTTGTTTGATAAAAAATATATTAAAAATAGTAATATTGTTAATAAATTTGAAGTTACTGTTTCTTTACAGAAATGTTGTAATAAAAATCCTGCAACACAAAGCTGAATTTAGCAACCAGCGTTGTGTCACGTGATCCTTCAGAAACTCTTATATGGCGATTTGCTTTTTAAAACCTTTTTGTTCTATTGAACATAAAATATAGTTTGAAGAAAGCAGACAAACAGTAACAATTAACTTTCATAGTAGGAATAACAAATACTATGGAAATCAAATATTACAGGTTTTAGCTTTCTAAAGAGAGTATATTTATTTAATTTAAAGTTAAATTTAAAAATTATTTTAATTTTGAGTGAACTACGTACCGCTTTAAGACGACTTATCAGCTGATGGCACAAGCAAATTTAATGTCCAATAAACGTTAATGTCCGCAATTCAAAAACGAAAAAACTTTGAGCAGCAAATAAATATTAAAAACATGGGTTGAGACGCATAAACGTTGCAAAAACACATAAACAGACGTTTACGCATGTCACATTTGCTCCACGTCAAAGAAATTCTAACGTTTAAACTTCCTCAAACGTTTATTTAAAAAGTCTAATTTTAAAAATCCCCTCATACAGAGCAGCCTAAAGCTTTCCAGCACACATTCAGTCACTGAAGCCGACAACGCGGCACTGCAGATCCTTGATAAAACGTGGATTTATTTGGACGTCCCTTTAAAAGGAACATCCGAAACAAAGTGGATTGTCCGGGTTTTACATCAGCGAGTCGCCGACACGTCAGGAAAGCGGACATTTTAACTTTGAACTCATTCATTTTTTTTGTGCGTGTTTTCATTGACAGGTTCATTCAGATAATCATTTTAATACAATTAGACTTTGCGTGTTTCTCACAGTTTAAACGAAACATCAGTTACTCTTCGCTATTGTCTATGAAGAGAATGACTGTCAACAAAAGACATAAAAATACATACACATATGAATGAAAACCTTTACAAATTAAACTAAACACTTGGCACATTTAAACAGTAATTAATTAGCTAGCAAACATACAGTAGATATAGCGTTAGTACTTTAAACTTACCATTTAAAGGCGCGCTCTCGTCTGGTGCAGCTGCAAAGGCACTGAATGAATGGCACAGGATAACACATAAGAAGCAAAGTGCAATTTTCAATGATTTTTCTACCATAATGTTCAGGGCTTTAAAACGGTTTCTTTATTCTTTTGCCAAAGTGAAATGACCAAGGAAGTGTAGCGTGTTAATCCTTCACGAGAGGTGCTAGGAAAGTGTGTGAACCTGTATCAGGTTGCTCATTAGAGTTTTAAATAGTTTTTTTTTAGTCATCTGACCATCGGCAGATATCTACGACAAAATTCTTTCTTTCTAATTGGTCAAGCCCCTGCAACTACGTTCGAGGGCGTGGTATGTGCGTTTGAATGAAGTGTAGTGAAGACTGGCACAATTCTCACGCTGCTGTTAACCCTTTGCTCTCCGGGCGCGCGCACGCTGACGCACGCTGCATGCCGAAGTTTAACGAACCGTCAGTGCAGCACATGACTTTGTTTGTTTACAAATATGCAAACATGGCGTGTTTGTGAGGGATAGTTGGCAACACGGGTCTTCTGGGGGTCACCGCTGTTTTCTTGGTAACATTTGTGTTTTATATAATAATGAAAGTTATTGGTTAGATACGTCAGTTTAAAAGGTAAGTTACCTCATGTGTTTGAGATTTCTATCACACAAAGTTTTGACATATTTTTTTTTTATTTGCAAGAAGGCTATTTATACTCATTGTTTCTTATACCCCCCGCCACCCACCCACTAAAAGTTGCCAAGTATGCAGTTTATTATTTCCTACATGATGCATTTGAACCCAATAGCCTATTAATTCAAAGACATTTACTTAAATTATAGTCTGAAAATAGAAATCTTCAAAAACTTTAAAATGTGTGGAATTAAGTTGGAACAAGAACAAAAAATGAAACCTCGTCCCAGTGACTAAACTAAAAACAATGGGTGGACAGATTTGTTTTATAATGATTATTTGACATGTCCAAAATAGTCTCAGGCAACAGATTTTATTGTTTTGGATGGATGTTTTATAGTTTTTGTACAAAATGCTAAAATAATTGGCTACTCTCTTCTTAATCGGGACAAGAAGTTTTGTGTGGTTTAAAGAAATAGAGAATACACCCAAAGATGAAAATCTTCTACTAATCATTTACTCTTCCTTGTGTGGTTCTAAATCTTTATTAGATTTTCCTTTCTCACACACATACAAAAATATATTTTAAAGAATGTGAGTTGTTGGCACCCAAGTTTACAATTTTAAACTGAACAGTGTTGCATTTTAAGATGAATTCCAATTAACCAAAAGTGTGAATGAAACAAACATATTATATTAACTTTGTCTGCATGAATAAACCCAACTGGAGGCTGGTGAAACCCAAGTGGGTCATATTGAAAAAAGCTTGGCCCCCATCCCTCCATTTCTATAGTGTTCTCTTAGAAAACGCCCTGGTGAAGCCCGTGCATAGAGAACAAGGGCTGCATACTAAAGAGCTAGAGAGCTTAACAAAAACACAGCATTTGATGTCCAAAACACTGACATGACTTGTGTAGTACACACTGTAGTACAATAGTGCAAGCTGCATGCAAGCTTATAAAATAAATAAATAGCTAGATAAATAAATAAATAAATAAATAAATAAATAAATAAACAAATAAACAAACAGCTGTATGAATCTGTACACAGCAAAATGAAAAGGATTATTGTTTCATAGAATCTGTCTTGCAAGGGTTTCATGAAAATATTTTTAGGTTCAATTTATTTAAGAGATAGAATGACGTGACAGCAGTGTACAATAACAAGACTTGCTAAAAATATCTAAGTTTATTTTATTTTCGTGGTGTTGTGCTTGTAAATGGAAAATTGACTGTTTTATATTCTGTCCTTGTTGTTTATGGCTCTAGCATGCCTGGGACAGGATGTTGACCCAGCAAGAAAACAAAACAGAACCAGAACAGGTAACCAAAACAGACGCTCAAGAAGGACAGGTGCAGGAGGCAGAGCAAGGCAGGAACAGAGAGACCTGTAGTCAAACTCAAAAGAAAAATGGACAAAACCATCAAAAAGTCAACTAAATGCTGGAAGCATAAACACCACACACAAGGGAAATTAGAGCAGCAAATGAGGAGAAAATGACCAATGCCAGAAGACTAATGGAAAATGAGGGAGGCAAGACAAAGACATGATAAACAAAGGAGCACAGCACATAACACAGAAATACAGATGCAGTGTCCTCCCACTAGGATTAGGAGGAGGATCACTGGATAGTCTCAAAGCTGGATGTGATTGGCAGTGGTGTTACTCCCTCATCAATGCCTGATCCAGAATATCCCTTTGGGACCCCACATCTCTCCAACACATGCAACAATCTCTGAACCCATGCCCTCTGCACCTGAGTCTAGCAGTCTTCTCACTGTATACACAGGGGACCCATCAATGACACTGGGAGGGGGTTAAGAAAGCTATAGAGAAACAGGTTTAATTCTACACACATGGAAAACAGGATAAACACAATAAAGAGACAGAGGATCTTTTCATATTCAACCTGCATGGTGACTCACTTTCCTACAAAGCTTATACTGCTTCTTCTGTAGCCTATACCTTCGTATTTTGAAATGATCCGAAAAGCTTCATTAACTGATTCAGGTGTATTTTATGGTTGCAGCTAAGCTTTTGGATAGTAAGTATTTTGGATAATATGTATCTGGGAGCAGGATTGGAAGTCCAAACCAAGGTCAATGGGGATTTGCATAATGAATCCTGAGTTGGCAACTCAAGACACAGGTCTTAGTCATAAAAATACATTTTATCTAACTTAATTGTAAATATGCTAAATATATTTTGTTGCTTAGAGGCTTTACAGAGCATATTTTTCAAATCAGAAATATATTTAATTTTAACCTTCACATATCAAAATATATTGCTAAATTTATTACTATATATTATTATTGTATGTTATATATACATTTCCAACCTTACAATATAAATTGGATGGAAGTCTAAAAATAACAATTATTTAAAACAAACTAGTTAGGCCTAAATATTTAAAATAATTTAGCAGAATTGCATTCTTAAATAGTTTAGATTTACAGAAACAAACAACTCTGCAAATTATGCACGGCTATGCAAATATAGATGTGATTTTTTTTTTCTCAATTTGTCCTTACTATTATTATTATTATTATTATTAAAGTGTATTTCTGGTTTTTGATGTTTTAAACAATTTTAGATTTTTAAAACACATTTTTTCAAATTTTACATTAATATAAAATCTGAAAATATTTTTGAAAAAACTATTTGTAGCCTAATTATAATTAATACATAATCTGATGACAAATAATAATAATAATAATAATAATAATAATAATAATAATAATAATTTTCCCAGAGGGGTTGTGGGTTGCGGCTAGAAGGGCATTCACTGCGTAAAAATGTGCTGGATTAGTTGTCGAGTCATTCAGCTGTGGCAACGCTGGATTATTAAGGGACTAAGCCGAAAATAAAATGAATGAATAAATTAATACTACTACTACTACTATTACTACTACTATTACTACTACTACTAATAATAATAACAATAAATAGTAATTATATATATATATATATATATATATATATATATATATATATATATATATATATATATATATATATATATATATATATTTTTTTTTTTTTTTTTTGCATATATAAATAAGAATTAAATAAATAATTTAGGGCACAAAAGATTTAAATCTATTTTGAGTGAATAAATGTCTAGAATGTGTTCAGATGTTATTTAAATTAATAACAAAATAAAAAAAACGTATAGATGATCTTTATATCTTAAGTCCGACATTTCGTCCGCTCTGATTTTATTAAGATCTGCGCCGGCTTTTACATCCTATTTCATGTAATTTCGTGCAGGTTTGATTAACAAGTATTAATTAAATTATTATTTTTGTGTCGTAGTTCATGACACGTAGAAATCAGCGTGTACGTTTTGTTTCGGAGTCCTTTTAGATGTTTTTAGACACAACCGGAAGTGATTTTGTTGTCGTTGTGAGTGACGCGTCAAAACGCGCGAGCTGCAGGACGAGCAGGTGATCAGTTACTATGGCAGCTCCCGGTGCATTAACGGTGAACTATACCAGAATACAGACATTAATGTCATGTTTTACATATTGTCGACGACCAAAGCGATGGATTAACCTGAAAACGGTCAACCGGAGAAGCTCTTTTTGTCAGTCACTGAAAAGGTTTGAACAGAATTCTCCCCCAGGTTACAAATAAAACAAAGGTTTATAAATGCATGCATTTATATGCCAAACACGCGTGTTTTCTGACGTAAACATCATATCATCCTAAACGTGTATGCATATGAGCATAATAGCAAACGACATATAACGTCAGTTTTTTTCAGAAGGTCGATGGGTATAACAAATATATTTTGTGCACTTGAATATTCCGCCACCCTGTGGGAGTAACAGACACTGTCATTTAAATGAATTTTACTTAGCATCATATATTTCAACTGTTTTTAATGAACTGGATACTTCGTTCATATGTCTAACGCGATATGTTTTGTTTGTCCACATAGACATGTTGCCACTGTGGTCTCAGGGGCAGAACTTGCTCGTCAAATTCATAAAGAAGTCCAGAGTGATATAGCAAAGTTAGTGGCTGAAGGCAACAGAAGACCCCATTTGAGTGTCATCCTGGTGGGAGATGATCACGCCAGTCACACTTACGTGAGAAACAAAACCAGAACGGCTTCACTGCTGGGTGAGCAAAACACAAAGTCAATGAACTTCCACTTGTTTAATGTGTACAGCGTTGGTGCTCAACTGTGGGTGTAAGCAAACTTCCACAAATCAGAGCAAAGTCTTAAATGCATTAGGTCAATGCATTCAATAATGCATTCGTGGCAAAAAAAAAAAAAAAAAAAAATTATATATATATATATATATATATATATATATATATATATATATATATATATATATGTATATGTATGTATATGTATGTGTGTGTGTGTGTGTGTGTGTGTGTGTGTGTGTGTGTGTGTGTGTATATATATATATATATATATATATATATATATATATATATATATATATATATATATATATATATATATATATATGAACGAACATGTTTTAAGCCAAGATATGACTTCAAATCAACAGAATTAATTATTGTTTTCTTAGAAATGTGACTAGAAAAAAGTGTTTATGATATAAACAAGAACCTATATCTGCTACTTCAGATATTTTTGAGATAACTTGCAGATATTTGTTGTTTAAACCATAAACTTCACCTCATTTTAATCAGATTCCCAGAAACAACAACAACAACAACAACAACAACAACTTTTTATTTCATTTTGCTTCTCAAGTAAATGCTTATTGATTTAAAAATATTTAGACTAGATGTCTACTAGAAATAGACATAATTTTATGTGTAAGAATATTGGAAAAAATTCAAATTTGTAATTAGACAGTACTGTGAAATTATTTATATATTGTAGTTGCTGGGTTCAATTATTTAAAATTCTGAATAAAAGGAATTAATTTAAATGTGATGCAAAGTCTCATTGCAGAAGTCATCTTCTGAAACCTGATTTTTAAGTCATGTGCTTTATTTTATTATGGTTATTTTAAAAAACATCATTCTCTCCTTTGTCTGGAGTGTTTTTGGATATTTTACTGCTTTGGGAAGCTATGGTGATGCAATCTAACATTTATTTCTGCTATTGTTGAAAATATGAATACTAAATAGATTGACAATTGACATTATCTTCCATTCAGCACTAACAGAAGTTAATTAGTTTCTATTGTACAATTTTTATTTCTGAGGACCCTGAAAATGTGAAAGGAGTCCATAAGTCTCACAAAGATTTACAGTTAGTTACATTAAGATGAACAAATGAGTTCTTATGAGTTTGTAAAGACCTGAGGGCAAGTAAAGATGATATATTTTTATGTGAACTAAAGTTTATTTTGGTGGTGTAAAATAGACAAAGTGAAGCAAGAGCATGTTTTCACTAATCTTTTGTTGAAACTTGACTTGTTTAAAAGGCATGTCAAGCAGCACAATCTTCAGGCCGTCATCTGTATCTCAGGAGGAGATGCTGGAGCTGATTGATAAATTCAACAGAGACAGAAACATTAGTGGCTTGCTGGTCCAACTTCCTCTTCCAGGTAATATTCTATACTATTGAATAAAAGTGCAAAATGGCAAATTATATTTTGTTTAGTAATTACTTGTAAATATTGTCTAAATTTTAAAATGCTTTGTAGGAAAGGACCGGGGTCATTCAGTGTTAAGGTCTTTAATACATTTAGTGAAACAAGCTAAATCTAAATTGTGTATATAGTTAAGGCCTGTGTGTTGTGTTTAGGCCTGTCACAATAATCAATATACTGATTTATCTTGCCACACATGGCTATGATATCAATAATTTTGGTGATACATATATATATAAGCTATTATATATCTTTATACAATAACTTGCCTAATTACCCTAACTTGCCTAGTTAACCTAATTAACCTAGTTAAGCCTTTAAATGTCACTTTAAGCTGTATAGAAGTGTCTTGAAAAAACATCTAGTCAAATACTATTTACTGTAATCATGGCAAAGATAAAAATAAATTCATTATTAGAGATGAGTTATTAAAACTATTATGTTTAGAAATGTGTTGAAAAAAATCTGCTCTCCGGTAACAGAAATTAGGGCAAAAAATAAACAGGGGGTCTAATAATTCAGGGGGTCAAATAATTCAGGGGGGCTAATAATTCTGACTTGCTGAAGGTCACTGGTTCGAGCCCGGCTAGTCAGTTGGCATTTCTGTGTGGAGTTTGCAAGTTCTCCCCATGTTGGTGTGAGTTTCCTCCAGGTGCTCTAGTTTCCCCCGCGGTATAGGTGAATATAGGGCATCTGCTGTGTAAACCATATGATGGATTAGTTGGTGGTTCATTCTGCTGTGGTGACCCCTGATTAATAACGAGACTATTGTCTCAATTATCACCTCATTATATCATCATTATCATGTATTACGATGCTGAAGGCAGCAGCAGATAGTTTACCTCAGGTCTCGAAAATAAAACAACTAGCGAACAGTTTGAAAAGGAAAGTCAATGCAAACCAACAGCATCAGTACTCAGCCCATGTCCTTTTAATGATGTTAAACTGGTTTAATATGTATTTATTAGATTTTAATCCTTAACATTCTGTTGGGAGTGCAGTGGCTGATATTTAAATTAATGTCTAGTATTTAATTGTTAGTGTTGTGTTGCATTATGTTTGATGAAGACTGTCATATTGCTTGTCGTTGGAATCTTGTTGCATTGGAACTTAAAATATGCATTCATGTTAATCACTTTAGCTGGTGTGTCTATGGTTCAGGTTTGTAAAAGTGACTTTATATTTTGAATGTCAGAGCACATCAATGAGAGAGCCATATGCAATGCTGTCGCCCCAGAAAAGGACGTCGATGGATTCCACATTGTAAACATCGGGAAACTCTGCTTGGACCAGAGGTGTATGATACCAGCTACAGCTGCGGCAGTGTGGGAAATCATCAGAAGAACAGGTATGGGACAACTTTCACATGTTCTTCGAAGGGTGAATACAGTTTCTCAGAGCTCTCGTATTGCGTCCCCAGCAGAGATTTGATTGGGTTGTCTATGATTACAACGGTCAGCAGCAGATGTAACAATGGTATCCAGTGTCAGTTTGTATTACTTAAAAGGTTTGAAAATATACTTCTGCAATTTTATCTGTCTTTTGATGATTTTTCCGTGCCATGGGCAATTTGTACAATTGAATTATTAATGTTTACTGAAATTTTATCTTTTTTTTTTTGTATAGGACTTGAAACTGTTGGAAAAAATGTGCTCGTTGTTGGACGCTCCAAGAATGTTGGGATGCCTATTGCAATGCTGCTGCATTCAGATAGAAAGCATGAACGATCTGGAGGTGTGATTATTGTCTATTTAACAGTTCTATTTTTTAAATTTCATAGATTATTATTATTATTATTATGAATAGTATTAAAGAGCCCATATTATACATGAAATAGGGTCATATCTTGGTTGTAAGGGTCTCCAACAACAGTCTAATATGCATGCAAGGTCAAAAAACACTTTTATGGTCTTATAATCTGCATTTATTTTTACCTAATTATCCCAGCGACTCCTGTATGAATCGTCCAGTGATTCATTTGTTCCCAAACCCCTCCTTAGCGCGAAGCTAATCTGCGCTGATTGGACCAATGACAGCCTGTTGCGATTGGTCGACTGCCTTCAGTCAGAGAGTGAAATGGCCAATAGCTAATCAGCAATATAAAAAGTAATCACAGTTCATACACGCTCGATAGTGTAGGCGTTGATTTTAGCTCCCACACACACACAAAAACACACACACCTCCGGATGACAATGCTCCCGCTTCCGCCCGCACCCGCCAGGTTTTAGCCTGAGAACCCGCTCCGTTTTCTGCCCGCCGCGCCCGATCCCGCTAGAGCGGGGGAGAACACAACCAAAAGTCACCCAGCTATACAGTCCAGACAGCCAAGATGTCTGTATAAACACACACACCGCACCAAGCACACAAAGCTCGCTCTCGCTCGCTCTCTCTCTCTCTCTCTCTCTCTCTCTCTCATACGCGCGCGCGTGCGCACTAACACACACACACACAAGCACCAAGCAGACTCTCTCTTTCTCATTCGCATAGCAATATCCGTGATATTGCTAGACAGCCCGCTCCCGTCCCAAATTAAACCCGTTACCGACCGCTCCCGCGATTTATTCGGAAATTTATTGCAGAACTCTACCACGGAGCTCCATAAACAAAGCAGCACGCGTCGCGTTTTTAACGTGACTTTGCACGCGATAAGAGAATATAGCCAGTTAACCGGATACAGTACAACCGGTTACAAGTAACAAATCACAAATACAAATACATTTGCAAGCTAGTGTCAACGAGGCAACAACTTTAACCGCACGTACTTACACTTGAGAAATGGAAACCCGTCCTGACGTCCATCAGTAAGTTACTCTTTACTGATCCTTCTTTTAACAAACGCAGATGAAGTATTCTTTGTAGCATGCAGTTTCCAGTAGTTTCCAACTGCTTGGTTATAATGCTGATGTTTCATCTTTGGGTAGAGACTCAATATAATATCCATCTGCAGTGTGACTTCAATCGACCGGCATGTTTGTGTGTGTGTTTGTGGGTGTGTGTGTGTGTGTGTGTGTGTGTCTGGGTTTCTGCGTCAGAGGGCGGGGCCTCAGGTTTGAAATCTTCCGGGTTTGCGCGTGCACGTGAATAACTTGTTTTCGTTCGTACGTCATGGCGAAACACCAAATGAATCGGTATCAAGGCGACTCGTTTGAAGCACTATGAGTCGACTCTTTTATAGATGAATCAACCGTTTTAAACACTGTATTCTTACAGATTTAAGCCTTAGCTGGATACTTCACTTCACTTAGAGCTGTGTTACACACTACATGGAGGGGAATTTTCAAAAACCCATAATATGGGCTCTTTAATAATAATAATAATATTAAAAATGGTTAAATGCAGTAGTAACAAGTTAAAGACATGGTAACATTTAAATGTATCTATATGTTTTTTTCATATTTACACACTGCTGAGAAATTATGGTTGATTTATAAGACAGTGGTCCTTGCACAGAATGTGAAAACCATGTGTGTTATTACACCCATAAATACATGAATTGAAAGGAAACTGCAAGAAAAACAAAAACTAAACAAAAGAAATAAACCTTGCAGTGACATTTTTGTAATGTTAGACTTTAAGACTAGTTATCAACAGTGTTTGGTTTGGAAGAACAAGGCTTTACTGCGAACAGATGATTATTTGAAAAACAAATGTATTCATTTAAATTTTTTTTTCATTGGAACATGTTTTCAAAAGGTCCATTTTCAGAATTCCAATCAATAAAGCAACAACCCAGTCACACTGTTTGTTGAAGGGGAGTGAGACGATTGTGAATTACAGATTCACAGAATAAACCTTGCATGTAGGCGCTGGTGATGCAAGCAGTTACATCAATACTATCAAAGATCAATGTTGACTGTTACCTGTTATCACCAACTCATTGTATAAATGGAAATCTACTGAAACCATTTTCATGCTTCTCTATGTAAAAATAAAATGTAAAAAAGGAGTATTTTTAATGTTTAAAATCCATTATAATGCACACTTATATGTTCAAACAAAAGAGATATTTTATGATTATTATTTGGCATAATATCAAATTATTAAAAGTGCTGAAATCTATTAATATATATGTATTTTACATCTGTGCAAATTATAAAATTATATATATCTTAAAAGTAAATCCTTTCTTTCTTTCTTTCTTTCTTTCTTTCTTTCTTTCTTTCTTTCTTTCTTTCTTTCTTTCTTTCTTTCTTTCTTTCTTTCTTTCTTTCTTTCTTTCTTTCTTTCTTTCTTAAGTTCTTGCGTCATCGCTGGCATTGGCATATCTCCAGAAACATGCTCAGGACTCAGAAAGTTTTTAATAAATTTTTATAAAAAATACATTTGTAATGCTTCTTGGAACAAAGGAAAGGAAGAGACCAGTTCTTTCCTCATTCTGGAAGTGTATAATTGTTAGGACAGGAAAACTTGTATTTAGATCCAAAGTTGCGATTAGGTTTGTGCAACGCAAGACATGCTTAAATTGAGTTGTGAAATCAATCATTTTAATAGTAGGTTTGCTCTAACATGTAAAAATTCCTTGTTCAATGATAGAAGCTGCCCTGATTTTGCTTACATTTTTTGGTGTGTGACTCATAGCCTTTCACAGTTATAAAAGTGAATTTGCGGTTACGTGAAGAAACATTTTAGGGAAATATGTATAATCTTGAGGTCCCGTGACAGCGGTGAGCTTCACATTATAATTAATGTTCCTGCCATTTTATTTACTACATCCGATGCTTGTGCAGAATGAGCCCTGTGATTAGACACATTTGACACCTTTTGCTTTATGTGCTGTTGCACATTCTTGGAATTTTTGCTGTTTAATTTCATCATCTAGCCGTTGGGCACGAACCACCCACCTTTAAATTTTTTTGGGAAAATATGTCTCAAATCAAGTGGCTTGAAATAAATGAGTCTATGGATGTAAAATCTGGATGTCGATTAGAGTTATTGATGTCTTATTTCTGAATAACATCTTTATTATGGAGCAAAAACTAAATTCTTTTTGCACTTAGATCTTCGAAACATAAAACAGACTGAGTACACAAAAGCTAATTTACAGTACATAAATTGCTACATCTAAAGTTTACTGAGTGCACTGGTAATTAGCTGATTAATACATGTATATTGACAATTCAGAGTTATGACTAGGCCCACACAGAATCTGGGCGCGCAGCATTCCGCAGATTTTCCGCAGACTTCCGCAGATTTCTGCAGATTTTTAGCCCATCATTAATTCTGTTTATTTGCTTGAGTAAATGTGTCTAAATCTATATTTATTGAGTTTTTTAATTAATTACAGTACTATTATTGACCTAATATGAAAATGTTTATCTGATTTATGCACAATGCAGTTTGTATAGTAGTATTTTTTGACTTTTACTGGATATATTATATGAGAGACTTGCTTTGTTTACCAAATAAAGTGCATCTAATTGGATTTGCAATTTAAACATTAAATAAAAGTTAAGAAAGTATTACTTTTTATTTTACATATTAAGGTTTTAGTTATGATACTTCTAAAATAATTCCGCAGATATCCACAGATTTTTACCAAAATTCTCAGCAGAAATAGCAAAAAACTTCCGCAGATTCCATCTGGCGCTGGTTATGACTTACATTATGTGATTGTATCAACATAAAGTCTGCTATACATTCACTGATTGTGTAAACTCATACATTTGACAATGTGTATTGTATTTCCCAGGTGATGCCACTGTTATAATGGCTCATAGATGCACTCCTTTACCACGGCTGAAAGAACTCGCCAGGCTGGCTGATATCGTGATTGCAGCTGCAGGTCAGGCATTTTGTTTTTCTCTATTATTACATGGCTCCCTAGAATACTTGATTCTGATTGGTCAGCAGTTGCATTTTAATAACTGCATTTCGCTAATGTTCACTTTCTAATAATGACTAACTGACTATATTCTTCCTTATTAAGATTTTGTTCATGAAACACATTTAAAACATATTATTTTTCCATAAGTTGACATGTAATTTGAGTTTGTCTAAAGTCTGCTTGAAATCCTAATTTTTGATGCTTATTTTTACTAACTTGATTCGCTATATTTTAAAATGAATAAGTAATCAGTGAAAGTTAATCTACTGTTTGTTTTGGTTATCTTCAATGAAAGTGTGCCTATTTGCTTATGCATTTGCAGTGGTGGTTTTACTGTTGACATCAACCTAAGGGCTGTCATAGCAATTGCATATTAACACCGTCTCTTACAGTTAGTTTGCTATAAGGGAATGATAGGCAAATGAAAGCCACACCTCCTACTCAATATTCTGTTTCAGTTGTTAAGTGAAGCTGCGGTCACACTGGGCTTTTCCTCCCATAGACTTCCATTCATACACACGCAAATGCGTTAGACCAGAAACGCAGGGCCATGCGTCAAGTTTCGCAGGTTGCTGCGGGGCAAAGTTTAAACTTGGTGAACTCTGACCTGCGAAATCGCATTACTTGATTATGGAGACCAATCGAGGATCAAAACATGACCTCTCTGGACAGAAATTTAAAACATGAAGCAGTCGCTCGCTTTTTTAAATGTCTAATAAGCTTGTTTAATCCCACCCCTTTTCGCAGCGCTGCATGACAAAATTTTGCAAGCTTAAATTCTAGTGTGACCGCAGCTTAAGAAAGGAGCGATTTAGGGCTGGTAATTAGGTAAATTGGTTAAATAATGATGTGATTTGAAACAGGTGATGTCAACAGGTGATTGTAATTATTATTTGGTACAAAAGCAGCATTCAAGAAAGTTCTCGTTCTTTAGAAGCATAGATGGGCCGTGGATTGCTAGTTTGCCAACAAATATGTGAGAAAATGATTGAAATGTTTAAAAACAATTTTCCACAAAGAAAGATAGGTACACATTTGGATATTTTATCTTTAACAGTCCATAACATATTAAAAGATTCAAGGAAGGAGTTTCAGTGCATAAAGGACAAGGGCACAATCCTTAGCTGAACTACCGTGATCTCCGATCTCTCAGACGACACTGCATCAGGAATCATCGTTCATCTATATGTGATATCACCACATGGGCTCAGGACTACATAGGCAAACCTTTGTCAAGTACAACAACATCCACAAATACCAGTGAAAATGTTCTCTGAAAAAAAATTCTGTGATGGCAATATTAATGCTAAAAAGTACAGAAATTTTGGAGCACAATATGTTGCCTTTTTTCCAGGGAACCCCCATGCATATTTCAACAAGATAATTCACCACATTCTGCACATGCACAGATACAGGTACTGCCTGCTGTCCCGATCTGTCTCCAGTAGAGGATGTGTGGCACGTTTTAAAGTGCAAAATGCGAGAACGAAGACCCCATACTGTTGCCCACCTTAAAACTTGTTTGCAGGAGCAATGGGACAAAATTACATCTGAAACACTTGATCACTTGGTGTATTTAGTTACTAAATGTCTTTTTAGTGTTGTGAAAAGGAATAGCAACATTACAAAGTGGTAAATGCTTTACTGTTCCAACTTTTTTTGAAATGTGTTGCAAGAGCCAAAATTGGAATACCTGTTTAATTTCAAACCCTTTTAAATCACGAGGAACACATTAAATAATGTTTGTTGGATTTTCTGCAATGAAATACAAGTCAAAGTAAATTTAAAAATGTTTTTCACACTGTCCCAACCTTTTCTGTTTTGGCTTTGCGAATCAAAATACTGAAATAAAAGTCTCAGCAACATTTGGTTATGCAGACTTTAAACATTATTCATGCTTACTTTAAATATGTTTGAATAAGAAAATAATAGTATTGTTTTCCTTCAAGAAAGTGTCTTTCTGAACAGCTGCTTGATGATTGTAATTAATTTGTCATCAGGTGTGCCTCACTTAATAACGGCAGATATGGTAAAAGAAGGAGCTGCAGTTATTGATGTCGGCATAAACCGCATGCAGGATCCAGTCACTGGTAAATCTCGTCTTGTCGGAGATGTGGATTTTGAAGGTAAACAAGACATGATTGCTTTATTGTTCTCATAGCATTTGAAGACATTTTTAAAATTGTGTAAATACTATTATTCATGTTTAGCATTTTTCCTTTTAAATATTTATTTTGTTTCCCTCAATTTTAACTTGAATTTTTCAGTTTTAGCTTAAGCTCTTGAGTTAAAGCTTACTAGCATGAACGTTTTCTTCTGGTTGAACAAAATGGGGAGCTTAAAGCTTTAAAAAGGATGCAAAACACCATGAAAATGGGCTGTAGAACTTGTGCACTATTTTACAAGTCAGCTGAAGCCACATAGCTTTGTGTTAGGCCAACAAACCATAATTTATGTCACCATTGAAATTGTTTAGACTTCTAGTATTGTTATTTCTATTACTAGGATAAAAGTATACAGTTTGGATATGGGATACCTAACCAGTTTGTGATGACCAATAACTGTTAAAATACATTTGTTAATGAATTATATTATTACAAAGTTCAAAGTCATGGGAAGTAGGAGGTGGGAGGTGTAAAAAGATGAATGTAACTTAAATCAACAAAATAAAAGTATGTGACAGCCCCTTATGGATGTCTTCCTCATAAACATAAATAAAACAGCAGTGTAAATATCTCAGGCTTGGTCCTCTTTTCATCTACCACTTTCGCAGCTCCTTCTTTTATTCTTTTGGAGTTCCTCTGTGTCACTCATTAACTTGTGCTCCACTGCCCTCATTCTCTCCCACGGCTTTTGGCCCTCGCACCACTCATCATAAATACCCCCATTGCCCCTAGTTAGACCCTTGAGAATCCTCCTACAGCCATTGCAGTAGTCTGGAGACTCGACATCTATGGACTCTTTCAGTTTCTTGAGTCTTGTCTGCCTCTGTTCAATTTGGTGTTTCTGCTTCTAGCTATATTTGATAGACAGCAGAAGGTCATGGCATTCTGTCCATGACAGTGACCTCTCTGTACCTTTCTAGACTGCAGTTGCCCCTTCATGACCTAGCAGACAGATCTTTGAATTGTTCCTCCTTCCCGCGGAGCTAATGAAACTGAAAATGAAGGAGAAACCAGGAAATTATGAATCTAAACAATAATTCATTGAAATTAACAAAATATTAAAGAGGTTTTGTTAAACATTTCTGTAATAAAATATTTTTTTGGTTCTTAATTTATCCCCAGGATAATATTGATTTATCCCACAGAATTGTGCAATTGTCCAGTGAATTTAGGTTAAGAACTGATTAATTCCATTTTATAAATGTGATCCAGGACAACAAAAATAAGTGTCAGGTTTTTTTTTAACATTAATTAACATTTATGCATCACATGTTTGTTAGGATAAGACAATATTTGGCTGACTCAATATTTTTGACCCAAGATCTTTTGACAACAATTTGACATTCTGGAATCTGAGTGTTCAAAAAAATCTAAATAAAGATAATATCACCTTTAAAGGTGTCCTAATGAAGTTATTAGCAATGTACAGGTATGGTCCTAATCAAAAATGAGTTTTGATATATACTCACTGGACTTTTTATCAGATACACCTGTCAAACTGCCTGTTAAAGCAAATTTCAAGGCATTTGTAGACATGATCAAGACAATCTGCTGCAATTCATACTTATCATCAGAATGAGGGAAAAGGTGATTTAATATGCCAGACAGGCTGGTCTGAGTATTCCGAAACTGCTGATCTACTGAGATTTTCACACACAACCATCTCTAAGGTTTACAGAGAATGGTCCAAAAAAGATAAAATATCCAGTGAACGGCAGTTCTGTGGGCACAAATGCCTTGTTGATGTCAGAGGAGAATCGCCACACTGGTTCGAGCTGGTAGAAAGGCAACAGTAACTCAAATAACCTCAACTGAGGTATGCAGAAGAGCATCTCTGAACGCACAACACTTTCAACCTTGAGGCGGATGGGCTACAGCAGCAGAAGACCACACCAGGTGCCACTCCTGTCAGCTAAGAACAGCAAACTGAGGCACACTTTGGGCTCATTAATACCAACTGAGCATCGTGTCAGCGCCACAGTGTACCCATCCTCTGATGCCTTCTTCTAGCAGGAGAACGCGCCATGTCATAAAGCGAGAATCATCTCAGACTGGTTTCTTGAACATGACATTGAGTTCACTGTACTCAAATGGCCTTCACAGTCACCAGACCTCAATCCAATATAGCACCTTTGAAATGTGGTAGAACGAGAGATTTGGATCATGGATGTGCAACCGACAAATCCGCAGCAACTGTGTGATGCTGTCATGTCAATATATGCTGTCATGACCAAAATATAGAGTTATATATATATATACACATACATACATACATACATACATACATACATACATACATACATACATACATATATATATATATATATATATATATATATATATATATATATATATATATATATATATATATATATATATATATATATATATATATATATATATATATATATATATATATATATATATATATACACACACACACAGTTTACAAAATACCTTTATTACTTCACAGATTTTTTTTGCGTAAAAAAAGAAAAATCTATCATTTTCATTCATACCTTGTTTGAACATTGTTTTTTGGTCCAGGGTCACAAATTATAATTTAAAATAAATTTTGTGAACAATCACATATCTGATCTGAGTTAAAATGTTGTCAAGATTTTGAGTAAAAGATGATTTGTGATTTGGTTTGTTCCTCACACAAGGCTGTCTTCAGAAGAGGGAGAGAGAAAGACACAATGTACTTAAAATAAATGAATGTCATTAATTTTTGAATGATTTATACATTTAAAATGAAATGTAATTCTGCACGTGCGTCAGTCAATCTATCTGATAATCATTTCTCAATCACTGTAGGCTCTTGTATAGAGCTTGTTGTGCATTCCTTGGCTACAGTAACCAGATGTCACTTAGCAACAAGATTGATGGTTTATTCTCTCAGAAGTATAAAATAAATACTTGGCTTAAGGAGAGTGTTATTTAAGACATGTTTTTTGTCTCTGCTCAGCTGTGAAGGAGAAAGCTGGATTCATCACTCCCGTGCCTGGAGGAGTCGGACCAATGACCATCGCCATGGTAATGAAAAACACAGTCACTGCTGCCAAAAATGCCCCAACATACTGAAGCACAAAACCTGCTATTAAACTGGAAAAGATGCAAGCACTTGACGAAGTCTGGATACTTTAATTGGGATTATTTGTTCGTTTCCTGATTATAAATGCAAGCCTCTGCAAGCTTCCCCTACAACTTCCTTTCCCTGCCCATCAGCAAGCTGTAACAGGCTCTCTACCTTTTGTTGGCATGGCCACCATGCACATCCATGACAGGAATTACACCCTAATTCTTTCCTAACTTTTTCTTACTAGTTCTCTCCTTAAAAATTAGATTGATTCTAAGAAGTTGCTGCATATTGAACAGTGTTAGGTTAAGAAAATAAGGTGGGTCTTGCTGTATAAGGGTAGTGTTTCCTTCCTTACAATGCCTCATTGAAGTCGGAAGTCTTGCATCATTTTTTACTGGAGAGTTTCGGTGGGACTTGACAGGTGGCTTCATGGCAGAGTAATAGCTGGTTCTCAGGTGTCTGACAAAAGAATCTGTGGACACTAATGCAAAATATTAAAGGACATTATGCTTTTCTCAGGAATTATTTTGATCCTCTGGTGCTGCTCATATGTTATTTTTTTTAATTGAATATTGTTATTATTATTTCATTTAAATGAATGTACTGTAATTTTATTCAGCTATGTTTTTTGTATGTGTATTTAAATTATAGTTATGTCATATTTTTCAACTATAAATCTGATATGAAAAGGGTGTTTTCAGAATCTGCCTAACATCGAAACTGCAAGAGAATCAAAAGAAAAGAAAAATGTTAAAGGGGTAGTTCACCCACCCACTCACTCAGAAAAAAATATTACTCACTATTTATTCACCCTCAAGTTGTTCCAAAGCTTTATAAGTTTATAAGTTTCTTTATTCTATTGAACATTCAAACCTGAAAACCTGTTACCATTGACCTCAATACGAAACCAATACGATGGAAGTCAATGGTTCCCAGCTTTCTTGTATTCAAAAGAAGAGAGGAAGTCAAACAGGTTTGGAACAATTGAAGGGTGAGAAAATAATGACTTTTAATGTTGGTTGAATTATCCCCTTGTTTCAAATAGACTTTCAGCAAGATTTTTTTTTGTGTAGTGCTAAACATTTCCATGTGTTAAAATTATTTTTACGTTTTAAGTTCTCGCCAAGGATTGTTTAGGCGAGTGCCGAAAATTTTACCAAGCTGCTTTTCCACTATCGTGCCATGTGAGGAACAATTAGGTATGGCTCCAGTTGTTTCCTTGTGAGCCTTGAACGGTGTGGCACAATTACAAACCGCTCTCGGCTCGGAATTCTAGGCATGGTAAGACAACTGTGCTGAAACACGCTTGGCTGGTAGAGCGCATGATGTCGCCACTCTTTTGCCCGACTGCCTGTTTCTCCCTACCGCACTATTTATTTATTTGTTTGTGTGTTTGGTATTGGTATTAAATGAAGTAAATATCAGAAGACAGAAGTCTTTAACACTGAAATATTCGATCATCATCCATATCATTTGTTTACATTACACAAGGCAACATCCGACGCATTTGTATTACATTCCATAGAGTTCCATTATCTGCACGAGAGTGTAAGTGTAAGTGCTTCTGCGTTGACTGAGCCAATTTGACATGAAATGGAAAGGTTAAGCTAACAGATCTCTTCGGCCCAATAGTGGAAAAGCAAAACAAAAATGTTACATTTTTGCACCAGAGTTTTAAAAGTTTAAATTCTTTACAACAAAATGGCAAAAAACACAACAATGCTGCTGTATTTAATATTTATTTACTATTTATTTTATTTATTATTTTATCTACTATGTAACCACATCAATGCTTATTATGCAGATATGTGTATATACACACTAACTGTTTTTTGTGTATATGTGTATGTATAGTTATTTTTATTGCCTCGAAGCACAAAGTTTTGTTTATCTGTGTGATTTATGGTCTTCATCAAACACTTTTATTTGCATTTTTGGGTCCTTTATATCCAAACTTCCAATAATTACAATAAAAAACATTAAGGTTAAAATACTTGATTCTTTTTTTTTTTTTTTTTTTTTTTACAAATTTCATAAAGTGAATATTTATTTACCCTGAAACAGACTGTGAAAGAAACATCTTTAAAAACAAAACGAAAACAAAAACTTCCAAGCACAGGTTTTTATACAGTTTTATGAATGAGGAACAGATCAGTAATGTAAGTCATTGTTCAATGAATACCATCTCCTTTATATATCTCGAAGCTCATGAATGGCAATAAAAAAATCCATGATGTTTGGATCATTGATTTCAGAGCCGATGTAACACATCTTAAAGTGTAAATGTCTGCAAATTCAAATTTCAGAGATCAAATTGAACACTTTTTTTTAGTAGTTTTTTTGGCCACTGATCCCTTTTGTTGTGTGAAAAAGATCAGCTCGGACATTTCATATTCGGATATTCGGAATTTTCATTTTCGGAGGCTCGGCTATAACATAATCTATTCCTTTTATAGCTTTTGTTTTCTTGCAGTATCACATAAAAGAATATTTGAAATAGATTTGATTCTTATCATAGTTAAATGGTTTTAAATTTTAGTTGTGTACAATGAGAAGCTTTACTCATTGAAAGTTTACTCACTCTCATGTCCAAACCTGTTTGACTTTCATCTCCAACATAAAAGACGAGATTTTGTCAAATGCCTGTCTTTTTTTTGTTTTGATTTGACATCTTTTTGTCCAGATAGTGGAAGCCAGTAAACAAAACGGTTTTGCCACCTGCATGGTTGAAAATATCTTTTTACATGTTCCACAGAAAATGATGATGTCTAGAGCAACATAAGGGGGAGTAAATGATGAAAAAAATTTCATCTCTTGGGTCCAAAATGTAAACAATATAAAAAATAAAGGTTATTGATGATGTATTTAACGTTACAATGATGGATAAAGCTTCTTCTCATTGTGGATTTATTAATTTTATTTATTTATTTATTTTTAAAATTTTATTTAGTTTAGTTTTATGGTAACACTTTACAATAAGGTTCATTAGTTAATGCATTTACTAACATGAACTAATCATGAACAACACATGTACAGCATTTATTCATCATAATTGAACATTTACTAATGCATTATTAACATCCAAGTCCATGCTTGTTAACATTAGTTAATGCACCATGAGTTAACATGAACTAACAATGAACTACTGTATTTTCATTCGTTAACTAACATGAACAAATACCGTAGTAAATGTACTGTTCATTGTTAATTCATGTTAGTAATTGCATTAATTAACATTAACTAATGAACCCTATTGTAAAGTGTGACCAGTTTTATTTTATTTAGAATTATTATTATTTGAATTGATTTATTATTGTGTTTATTTTGTTTACTTTTTTGATTAATTTCCATGATTATTTAATTTATTCACTCACTTTTTTTTTTTATTTGTTGTTTTTTGTTTATTTATACATGCATTCATTCATACATACATGCCTACATGCTTACATCACCTATCCATCACTAACCACTAAATGGGATGTCAGATTCCCAGTTTCGGTCTAATGTTACGTAGACAACAGAAACAGGGTTTTTTGGTAACATTTTGGGCCTTTTGTTATGTGACAGGACATGAGCATTAAAACAAATGTAAACATTAAGACAAATGTAATCATGAAAAATAATTCTTTTTTATGTTAAACTGAGTCTTAAGAGTCTACTTTTGCAGCTACAGGCAAATACTTTGGTCACTGAAGAAAAGAAAATCGTGGAGTGGGCAGAAACACGTCTGTGCTTGTTACTTGCGTCTGGATCAGGAAGTGATGCGGGACATTATACAGGTATGGCTAAAAAAGACTGGATTCATTGGAGTTCCTGTTAAAAATGATTGGCCACAATTGGTGACGCACAAAGGTGTACAGAAGGACAGTATAAATTGTGAGGAGAAAAGCACTTTCTTCAGGAGAGCAGCAGAGTTTTAAGGAAGAATCTCAAGTCGAAACCCAACTGTTTTTGTGGCACAACATGACACAGGGTGAGTCAGAATGATTTTCATAACATGAGAAGCTAATAACTGCTTAGTTTTTTTTTTTTATTTAAGAGATTGAAAATATGTGTAGTAACTTGAATGTGGTTTTAATACTCCATCAGTACTGGGTTTGATGCTGGTGCTCTTCCTCTTCTCTGGACTTGGAGAAGCTCAGGAGAAATCAGAGGATGTGCTTCTGAACAACACAACAGAAAACCTGCTTTATAGTCATGGTAAGCAAACACACACACACAGACACCTTACAATTCCATTCAGTAAAGCAGTACAGTGCACAGTTTAACAAGTGCTATATTTTTTGTTTATGAAAAAGTTAGCAAAGATGAAAAAAAATTGCTGCAATAAATGAAATATTCATTGTTTGATCATGCAAAAAAAGTGCATTAACTTACATAATTGAGCCTTATTGTAAAGTGTTACCATTGTATCATATCATGCATCCTTTTTTATGATAGCTATCAAATACAGTATTTGATATGGACTCTAACACAGTATGTACACCCACATGAAAAAAATTACTAGAATAATGTATTTAAACACTGTAGTGTTTTTGAACTAAGTACTTAAATTTGTCTCTTTTGATAATACTATAGTTGCTATGGTAACACAACAACTGTAGATATATAAGCAAATGACCTAATGATGTAGTGATTGTATAACTGTAGGATATATTCATCTACAATACAACACATTGTACAAATCTAAAGCATGTCACTGTATTAATTGCTGTTTATTATAGTTTATTATAGTTGATACTGAAGTAGGTTGTAGCATTCATTACCAAAGAGTTATGAATTCAATAATATAGATAGTATAGATCATTTAACTATAATCTGTTTTAAAAACATAAATTGCTATATTTAGTATTTCTTCATGGGGGTAGCTATGAAAAAAAAAAATTAAGAGACCACTTGAAGACCACAATGATAATTTGAAATGGCTTTGAGTAATTCTAAAAGTGTACTTCTGTAAAGGTCTGATGGCATTTCTTTCAAATTGGAAATAAAAATATTGTAATTTAGTGCATTTTTCACATCTGGTTGTCAATAATTTAGAATCATAGTTGTTTCACCAAATATTGTGTTATGTAAAAATAAAGATACATGTCTGAGAATATGGCATCTTTAGCTCAAATTTTGCATCAACAAAGCTCTAAATTGCAGTCCTTTAGCTCAAAAATCTTTTAAATTGCAGCTTGTTTTGTTTTCAATCTTAGTAGTTTACAGAAAAAAACAACAATTGCTACTGCAAATCATAAATCTAGAGAAACTGAGAATTTTAAAGAACAGTCCATATGAAGAGTTCAGATGCAAAACACCTCCAACTTAAAGGATTTTATTTGACTTTAATATGATTTTTAGATCTATTATTATTATTTTATGTGTTTTTAATTATTTTTAATTATTATATTTTTTTCTTGATGTCTGTAAAGTGCGTAAAGATGCAACTTTTAAAGGTGCAATATAAAAAGAAAGTTTATTAATTGTTATTATTATTATAAAAGGAGCATTTTCTCAGGCTATTGTGTATATGTTCAGTAATTTCAGTTTTATGCCAGTGAATAGGTTCTTTTTCTTCCCTTTCAAGTAAAATAACTGAACATAACCTAAGAGGCTGAGAAGAAAAAAATACTCATTTTAGAAGATAAATTAAGATGGCACTGAGATATATTTATTAAAAACTCCTATGATGTGTTTATTTATTTTTTAAGTGTTAAACCTTTCCTAAGTGATGTTTAACAATGAAAATAAATTTTTACAGTATTGTTTTTTTTTTTCCGGAGAGTCTTATTTCTTTATGTGTGGATGGAATAAAAGCAGTTTTTACATTCAAAAAAAGTCATCAGCGTCAATACTATTAGCTCCCATTAGATTTTTTTTTTATTGGCTACAGAACAAACCACTTACAAACTAATTACTTGCCTATTTAACCTAAATTGTCTACTTAACCTAGATACTTTTTAATTTATTTAATGCTTTAAATTGTGCTTTATCACTAATTGCAGGTGTCTTGCAAAATAACTAGTAAAGTATAAAGTACTGTCATCATGGCAAAGACAAAAGAAATGAGTTATTCAAACTATTATGTTCAAAATTAGTTGGAAAAAATTCTCCCTATTAAGCAGCACTTGGGAAATATAAATAAAATACATAAAGATTAAAAACTACATAAGAATTTAAACTTCAAAATATTAAACCCTTGTTTTAAAAAAAGTGTCTAAAAATGTGTCATTTAATCTGTATCCACATTTTTGTAGTTTTTAAAAGGAGCAAACATGTAATTTAGATTTTGTTTTTCCCCCCATGTGCATGGTGTTAAGAATGCAGGCTCTTTGGCGTGTGGACACAAGTCTGAATACCTTTCAGTTAAGCTCAGTCCTTCATGCGTATGCTGTCAAACTCTAACTATGTGTTTGTCTATCAATAGAAATTGAAGAGGAACCTCTTGTGCTGGCTGCTCAGAGGCCTTGCGGTTCAGAACATGAAGGATTCTGTGTCAATGGTGTGTGTTCGTTTTCTACTGAACTGGACACCCCCATCTGCAGGTGAGAACGGACACCAAAAAAGCCCAGTTTGATCTTCATGACCTCCTGATTATCTTGTTCATGTTTGTTTGATTAGCAAACTAGGAAATCATGAAGCTTAGGTTGTGGCTTCAATGTGTATAAAGCCTTCTGGATATTTGCAAAATAGGACGATCCCTAGGATGCTCCACCCAAGTTTCTAGTTTCAGTTGACATGAATTTACAATGTTAAAAAAGGGTCACACTTTTTTTTGATGATCCGTTTGTTGAATTTAAGCTACATTGCATCTAAATACTGTATCAACTAATTCTCATTAGATTATTAGTAGACCTAGGTTGGGGTTAGGTTTGGGGTTAGTGTAAGTTGACATTTTGTACTTGACTTTGACTTTGTACTTGCAAAATTTCTTATAGTCAGTTAAATGTCTGTTGAAGGAGCATCAACAGATATTAAACAGACAGTCTACTAATACTCAAATGGACCATCAAAATAAAGTTAACAAAAAACGTACAAAAATGCTACTGCAAATACATTTTACAATGCTACAGATATACCACTTAAAATGACACATTCAGTTTACTAGCAACAGGTACTGTAAAATACTACAGCAGTTGATTTTATTTTAGCCAGTTTATAAAAAATTAATAACACTAAGTCTAGAGATCATGGATTACTTTCACTAAGCATGTACACACACACACACACACACAAACACACACACACACACACACACACACACACACACACACACACACACACACACACACACACACACACACACACACACACACATTTCCCTAAAATTGTTGTCATGAACAAATCTTGATTCGGCAAAAAAAAGTTTTTGTGTTAAAATGTATTCAAAATGTATGATAAACCAAAGGCCAGAACAAATGTAAGAACTAAAACCATGCATATGAAATAAAAGTGCCCTAAGTGGCCTTGTTAATGCATGATCGATGTTTATTTTTAACAATATTAATTATGTATAATATATAATTTATATAAGGTTTTCTTTAATATGCAGTATATTATACAATACATTACATCACAGTGGAAGAGTATGAAAATATTTAGTTAAATAAATGTTCGGCCATCATTTGATATGCTCACGCAATTTTCTTTTTAGGTTTTCTAAACATCTGCTCATGTTTCTGTATAGGTAGCAAACATTAATTAATTAATTAATTCATTAATTCATTTTCTTTTCGGCTTAGTCCCTTTATTAAACTGGGATCACCACAGCGTAATGAAGCGCCAACTTATCCAGCATATGTCTTACGCAGCGGATGCCCTTCTAGCTGCAACATCACTGAGAAACACCCGTACACTCTCATTCACACACATAAACTACGGATAATTTAGCCTACACAATTCACCACGTCTTTGGACTTGTGGTGGAAACCAGAGGAAACCCACGCGAACATGCCAACTCCACACAGAAATGCCAACTAGTCCAGCTGAGGCTTGAACCAGACACCTTCTTGCCTTGAGGCAATCATGCTACCCACTGCGCCACCGTGACGCACTAATTAGCAAACATGTCCTGGTTTTTCTTTTTTTATTTCTCTACGATGTCAAATATATATATGATTTATAAATCATGCCACCATACGTTTATAATTAATATTAACTTATTAAACGAAGTTAATCATGTTTTAACTTATGAGTTATAAGTTAACATTACGAGTTAAGCAAGCTTTAGGGTATATGCCTTGGTATGCAGAAGGACTTTTAATTTTGCAGTAACCTGGTTCAATTGCTTCCAGTGAACTGTATGCAGTTACAAAATCTGCTCATTTATGGTCTGTTTCCTTTAAAAATCAATGATCTCGACTGTCTGATTGATATGTAATATAAAGTGAGTCTCAGATTGACATTTTCTTTGCAAACTCATCAGTATGTTTGAACTTAATATTTCAAGTTGTCCGGTTGTTATAAATGCAGAAATTTATAAAAATCTTCAAGCAAAAAGTCAATGAACATGAGAGGGGAAAAAAGTACACTGTAAAAAAAAAAGTTCCACTTTCACTGCTGAAAGTCCAAACACTGAAGAGCAAATCAATCGATGTGCAGCTCCACAAGTCCCAAACAAAGCCAGTGGTGAGGAGCAAAACTTCACCAATTGACAAAAGTAAAGGAAAAAAAAAACCTCGAGAGAAACCAGGCTCAGTTGGGCACAACCATTTCAGGTTACAGATTTATTAAATGCACACTTGGCATTTCTTGTGATATCTTGAGGGCAGCATTTCTTAGATTTTTCTTTATTTTTTATTAGACATGCTCCTGTGCTAACAAAACATGCAATTATTACTGAACGAAGCCCAACAATTCCAGTCTACAAGCTATGTACTGTACTGTATGTCATTATCTGTAATGGTTGAACATCTACATTTGAAGACCATCCTGACAAAACGTTTTCCACTTGTATCCTCAGATGTAATGAAAAGTACAGTGGCGTGCGCTGTGAACACATCATCATGGACACGAGAAGTTTGTCTAGTCCTGAAGAAGTCATCGGAATCAGCTGTGGTGTAGTTTTGTTTTTAGGAATGCTCACTGTACTTCTCTTCTTTTGCTTAAAGAAAAGGTAAAACCCAGACGTTGAGTTACAAATGCTTTATTTATTGATTATTTATATGTTTTGTGCATTGTTTTTCAATTATTTACTCTTTAAAAATCTTTCAATTCAATTTAGTGCAATGGTTATGAAAGTATTCATTGTATTGATAACTGAATATTTTCTGGTTTATGTTTCAACAGGTGTCAGAAGTCACCACCACCCTACAAGAACTGTGGCTCTGAGCATTCGGTTTAAATTATTTCATTAAACATAAAGCTATTAAATAAAGTACTTACACGATCAAGACGACTCCACAAGTGAGACGTATCGCCCTCTAGAGGACAGGTCGAGAATTACAAAGCCACTGTTTGTGCCTCTATATTTTCCCACACATTCATGTAAAAATTTATCAACCACAGTAGATTGTACATTACTTTTACATCAATTAAACCTGTTGTTCTGCTTTTAGTGGTGAATATACTAAACATTGAGACTGTAAAGTTTTAACACACACACATTGTTCATACCTTGTATTATTTTAAATGGTTTTGAACTATTATTCAGATTTATTTTTATCCATAATTAAATGCCATCTGCTGCCTGTTTAATGAATGTATTGTGTAAGTTAACAGATATTTATTGTTTAGCTGTAATTATATTATAATTCTATATATAATATGTAAGCTGTGCTATAATGTATTTCTATCTGATATTTATTTATTGGCAGATTTGTATAAAAGTTAAATAAAAATTCATTTGAATAATGAGAAAACAGTGTAGATGATTTTGTTTGAAATTCACTGTATTAACATGTATCCTTGTTATTTGCATTAATGTAGAGAGATACCCAAACTACACAAGACGTGTCACTCGTATAGTTTTGAGTGGGGAAAGGTGTAATGGTCAATAAGGTGAATGAAGCCCCGCCTTCCAGTACAGGAGCCAATCATTAATCGGTATAGACTGATGATTCTCCGGGGTAAGGGTTAAGACCGTGAGTTTCTGAAGATTCTGTGTGATTTAAACGTTTAGAAATGAAACTTACGAGACAGCTGTTTAATTTTATTGGTGATTCCTATTATGAAATTTAATCTTATAAGCTTGGCAAGCAATTTTGGAGAATTTGTTGTTTCCCCATTCAGACAAAGTGCCTGAGCATATTGTCCGAGGGGCATTTCAAAGATGGCTGCCGAGTGAAATGGCTTGCCTTAAAAGGACTTTAAGGATACACACTCAAAGGCTCTAATGATAACAGACAGGTTTGTTTATTTATGAATTTAATGGAAGAGTCAAAATAGAGTATTGGTGCACTAAACAGTGTTCAAACAGAAATAAGTATTTAACTTCTGTTTTCATTTAACATTGTGCACAAATAAACAAATCATCTAATTTGGTAAAAAAAAAACAGTCAAATGTATTAGTTTTGATTTATTTAAACATTTTTATTATTAATTTGAATTATTTTTGGAAATATTTTTAGTGCTGTTTATTGGAGAGAAAATCTTTTCAAGGTATTTTTAAACAATAGTTTTAATAACTAATTTGTTTTGTCTTGCCATGATGACAGTACTATGGAGTCAATCTAGGGCCATATATACTTGCAAAATAAAAGAAAGCTTTACAAATAAAAAAATAATGTATTGAGCAAAAAAAAAAAAAAAAAAAATGCAAATTTCCAAAAATCATAAATCGAAAATAAATTTTTGAGAAAAAAAAATACATTTTGCTAACAAAATTAAAGAATTGCAAAAGGAAAATAAGTTTTGAGAAATAAAAATGAAATTTACAAAAAAAAAATGCAATAAACAAGAAAAACTATATAGCAATGCTCATTTGGATTAGCTTTTTAGACAACCATGAGTTTGCGATGCTGTTTTCACTTTGCACTTCTGCGTGTTTCACTTTATGGCCCTGATTTGACAAGGGGAAACGCTCAAACGCTTCCCTTGACTGTCAAATTAGGGCCACAAAGTGAAACATGCAGAAATGTGAAGTGCAAAGTGAAAACAGCATGGCTGACTAAAAAGCAAATGAGGCAATGCTATAAAAAATGTTTTGCAAATATAATATTATTTTGTTATGTATAAATATTTTGTATTTGCAGTTTTTTGTTTGTTTGCAAATTTCATTTTTATTTCTTAAAACTTATTTTTCCCTTTGCAGTTCTTTATTTTTGTTAGCAAAATTTTTTTTCTCAAATATTAATTGTTGCTTTGCAATGTTTGGAGATTTGCTTTTATTTATGTGTTTTTCCTCAATACTTTATTTTTATTAGAAACAAATTCTTTTAATTTTGTAAGTATATGTGACCCTAGATTGACTCCATACAGTGCATATTATTTTTGTAGTTAGTTTGCAAGATATTCACCTTATAGTGCAATTCACAGGCCTAAATATGTAAGTTTGGTTAATTAAGCAAGTTTTGGATAGCAATTCTTTTGCCAATTGAAAAACATAATAATTTCGTGAGAGGGCTAATAATATTGACCCTAAAATTAAAAAAAAAAAAAATATATATATATATATATATATATAACAAATGTTTTTATTCCAGTTAGACCAAAGAAATAAGACTTTCTCCAGTAAAAAAAAATTAAAAATTAAAGGATATACCAGCCTGATCTCATGATGAAACGTAAGTATTTTACATTTTGTCAGTTTAGTGGCTAATTCGTATAAGTTCAGTTGTACGAAAATATACAATTTTTAAAAGGAGGCATGGCACCTAAACCCCTCCATCAATGGGGGATATGCAAATCGTACTAGATTGTATGAATTCATCCGAATTAGCCACTAATCAAAAAGTTACAAATTGCTGGATATACTGTGAAAATGCCCTTGCTCCGTTAAACATCACAATAAGAATAGAAAAGGAAAAAAGAATAAAACTTTCACAGGAGGGCCAATCATTTTGCATTTAACTGTAGATGTTGTCAATCTGGTTCACTTGTAAGAAACTAATGGTTGTGTTTAAAAAAAACCTAGACAGAAATTGATCAATTACATTATGAAGTTGTGTTTGTAGAAGCATTCTGCATTTCAGTAAGCCGTCTGTCTGTCCAGTTAAGCATTCAGAAAACTTTCTGATGCTCTAGAGGTGTGTGAAGTATTCCCAGTGGCCCTTGCATCTGTAAAACAAGATCGTTACAATAAAACTTACAATACAATATACATCAAATATCTACAGTACAATACGTTCAACTTACTCCTTCCTCGTCTCATAAGTGTGTTAATAACATCTGTGAGAGTCGTTCTGTTGGAGGTACTGCTGTAGAAATTGGATCCAGAGCTGGAAGTCTGTAACAGAAAAGACAGCAATTGGTTTTTGCATCATAAGTTTTTGCATCAAAAATATGTATTACATAGGGATAAATAGGTGTTTACACGGGTGCCATGTGAACCAGTGGCTCTACGGATTCTCAGTCTTGTTTTAAGTGTCTCCCGAACCTGTGGGGAATGAAAACACAAATATCTCAGGCACCAAATACATAGAATGTAACGCCAAGTAAAGCAGGGAACTCAGATCTAACCTTCTTTTCCATCAGCGTTCCAAGAACCAATATGAAGAAGCCCTGAAATTAGACAACAGGTCATACCAGTTCATACCAGTTTCTTTATTGTTGATAAATAGTTTTTTTTTTTTTTTAAATGAGATGTAAAATGCCGCAGTGTATTGGTCAATAATGATTCATTAGTTAATGCATTTACTAACATGAACTATTATTGAAGAATACATGCAGAGCATTTCTTGATCTTTGTTTAACACTTACTAATGCATTATTAAAATCCAAATTCATCTTTGTTAACATTAGTTAATAAGCTTCGAGTTAACATGAACTAACAATTAACAACTTTATCTCTATTAACTAACATTAACAAAGATGAATAAATACTGCAATACATGCAATGTTCATGCTAGTAAATACATGAACTAACGTGAACTAATACAACCTTATTGTAAAGTGCTACTGGAATATTATACTATGTTCAGGACAATTTCAGCTCAATCAGTAGCATTTATGGTATAACGTTGATTTCTATAAAGTCATAATGAAATGGATCTTCTGGACAGATCTTCTGTACTGTGTGGATTGTATTAAGTTTAATGGATTACTTGGTAAAAAAGGGGTGGAGGAGGAAGAAGTCAATGCCAGCATGTGGTTGAGTTAGACATTTGCCACTGTTCATTAATTTACAAAATCATGGTAATGAATATGCCCATTACTGATATCATGGGCACTTAAAAATACCCTTTATTATTTTAGCATTTAGAGTGCTTTTTAAGAATATTCAGATTGCATTTGCAGTGAAGTTCGTATTTGTGCCAAATGCTTGGAGACTTAATTGGTCAGCTTAATAGTTTAAACATTAACATTTTCACATGTACAGTGCTCAGCATATATAAGTACAGCCCTCACAAATCTATCTTAGAATTCATGTTTTTAATAGGAAGCTGTTAATATTATATTTGTGCATATACATGAGAATAGTCTGTACTAAAGCCAAATCTGGAGCTTGTCTTACAAAATAGCTTACGATAATGGTCCAAAAACTATTACAGCCAAATGTATATGTTATAGAAAAAATAAATACAAATTTAAAAAAGAGGAAAAATCAAGAGAAGCAAAAAAATGGAACAATTTTGTTGAAATTTTGTAGGTTGTAATTTTTTTGCAATTTCTCAAAATGTTTGGTGACTAAAATATTATTTTAATAGATATATCTGTTTAATAAATCTGTTTTGTTTAAATATACCACAATACATTGCCTATATTCATTTTTAAATGATTATTTAAAATTGCTTAAAAAAATGTCATTTTCAAAATAGGATGTACACCATTATGCTGAGCACTGTATATACGTTATTAATAAGGCTTCAATAGTTACATTGTTTAATTTTGCTAAACTCGTGATGAAAATAACAAATATTTCAAGCAGAAGACATTTTTTTTTCTGCATATAATTGGGGGAAAAAATTGTCTTGCAGATTTATGCATTTTGATTTTGGGAGAATAGAAGCTGACAAAACATTAATAACACTTATCTTTTATTTAAGATTATGATGATGCAAATCCAATTAGAAGCACTTGTTTGGTGAACTAAGCTACAATACATCAACTTAAAGAAAATATTACTGTACAAACTGTATTTCACATGCAGTTGAAGTCAGAATTATTAGCCCCCTTCGATTTATTTATTTTTTTAAAAATCCCAAAATGATGTTTAATAGAGCAAGGACATTTTCACAGTATGTCTGATAATATTTTTTTCATCTGGAGACAGTCTTATTTTGTTTTCTTTTTCGGCTAGAGTAAAAGCAGTTTATATAAAAAAAAAAAAACCTTTAGGGTAAAACTTTTTAGCCCCTATAAGCTACATATTTTTTTCAATAGTCTACAGAACAAACCATCATTGTACAATAACTTGCCTCATTACCCTAACCTGCCTAGTTATCCTAATTAACCTAGTTAAGCCTTTAAATGTCACTTTAAGCTGTATAGAAGTGTCTTGAAAAATATCTAGTCAAATATAATTTACTGTCATCATGACAAAGATAAAATAAATCAGTTATTAGAAATGAGTTATTGAAACTATTATGTTTAGAAATGTGTTGAAAAAGTCTTCTCTCCGTTAAACAGAAATTGGAGAAAAAAATAAACATGGGGGCCAATAATTCTGACTTCATCTTTAAGTCATCTAAACATTTGCACATTTTTTCAATAATATTACTAAAAGTATATTATATTTAATATAGACTGGACAAATGTATGGGGCAAATATACATTTTGGTTATTATACCTGTTAAAGTAATCTTTTTAGCAGCTTAGGTCAATATCGTGCTAATACTGAATACCATGATAAATGCTTTAGCAATTAATCGACACAAGAAAATTTGACACTGTCAAAAGCTTAGATCGATTATATAGAATATTCCAGCAATAAGCATAAAAGTAAAGCACAAAAAAGTACATCTTAAGCTCGGCTCACTCTCATGAAGCACTGCAAATTACTTAAAAGAGTCCTATACTCTAAAAACACTTAAATATGTAAATATATTTTGTAGTAAACATATAAATACCACCAGCAATCAGCATAAATTAATAGTTTTACATTTTTCTGACTTTGATTTTAATCATACTTTTTTTTCATTTTGCTGTTCGTATCAACAATTTGATAACTACATAAAGCTCTGGGCATCCTGAGTTGGAATCTCGGTTAGATTTTGGGTTGGGGTCGTAACTAAAATCTACTTTTTAAATTACTAAATAGTCTTCGAAGACAATATCAATTGCAGTACTACTCTACAGGCAATCAAGATTAAAATGAAATTGGGGAAAAGCTTGTTACGTTCCCTTTTTCATTCACAGATTGAGGTTAAAAAAAATTGTGGCAATCAACTGACGAGAAAACATGGGTTTACCAATTGAACCAAGAGTATTCCTTCAAAAAAGTCAATGTTGAACATTGAAATATAACTTTTATACATATACCTGCAAAGAGTTGAAGATTGCAAACAAGTAGTGGATGGCCAAAGCTTTAGGGTCAATCATGATACCCAAACCGAGACCCCATGTAATCCCGAAGAGAGGTGTCAAAATGGCCACACATCTGAGAATGACTACCAAGACGTTCTTTTCGTCCCTGTTGCTTTCTCCCACTCCACTCCTGACCATTTTCACCACAACTATCACAACAACAATAATGTTGACAACAACAATGACCAGAGCCGGCAGGACGAAAGCCAGAAGAGCTCTGGATTGATCCCAATTCAGCCAGCATGCTCCATTCTGTGTGACATATCTGTTATTCCCAGCGGTGGAGGCAACAGTAATAACCGCGATGAGGAGAGGTGCACCGTAGCCCACACTGAAAGCAGATACCATCATGATGGTTTTGGAAATGGTAGAGAAGACCATTGTGGTGCGGTAGAGGAGCAGAACTGAAGAGACCATCATCCAGAAGAAGAGGGCCAGGTAGAAGAAGTGGGTGAAGAATACCGCAGCACTACAAGACTTCATGAAATCCTGTCCGGGATTAACAACTGCAGCGCCGATAATGAAGCAAATGTCAGCGATCAGTAGAGAAAGGGCAATGTTGACTAAGGATACATGCCGAATGTGTGATGTAGCGTTTCTGGTTACACCCTTCCAGGTGATCATTTCGATGATCAGGCAAACTACCAAACTGGCCATCGAAATGGTGACACCAACATACGTGATAACAGACAACGCAAGATCTTCAGGAACGTAAGGGGACATCAGAATTGAGAATGAAGTGGTGTGATTGCATTGACAAGTATCAGTGCCGTTTACCACCGTAGGATAGCATCCTGTTGAGTCCCATCCCCCACTGCCATTAAAAAGGTTAAATTGCCAGAAAACACATTGGAGGTTCCCTAAAACGACTGTTTCATTATTACGAGTGGTGGAATTGCTGAGTTTTTCAAAGGTCAGCTGTATGTTGTTAAGCGTCACACTAGTGTTCACCACCACAATGAGTCCATTGATGACGTTTTCAGTCTCGTTCAGTGTATCGGTGCGATTTCTTGCAGGCATGATGTTGCCCAGGGAGGAGAAGGCCACTGCTGTGATTGTGACATTTTTTTGAGTGGCTGTTAGATCTGGGATGTATATCGTAGCCGTTGAGTTGAGCTTTAATTCTTCTCTAAAGTCTTGGGTTGATGTTGTAACCTTTTTGAACAGGAAGGAATTAGAAGGACTTATTATGTTGAAGTCGGTGTCTGATGTTGCTTTTAGAACACTTTCAATGGAGTTCAGGAGTTGAGAGCTGTTGCCTTGGCTAGCGTCCGCTTGATTTAGCTGTGTCCATACAGGTACTGCGTTCACTGATGAGATTACGTCCACTATAGTGAGGAAGTTCTGTAAAATAAACAGACAATAGAAACTGTTATTAGGCATTTAGATTTCTTGGCCCTGTGCACACCTGGTATTAAGAGGCGTTTTCATCACTTTGATCACAAGTGGACATAACTAAGGTCCAATCCCAATTTTATTTTTGTTCCCCTACCCTGCTCCTTGGCCCTTAAAACCGAGTGTGAAGGAGAAGGGCTTCAGAATTTATCCCTAAGATATGGGACAGCACTACAGCACCTGCACACGTCATCATATGTCATCACGATCTCTTGCTTCATATGAGATCAGACGATCACGACTGCTGTAGTTATTCCAATTGTGTTATTTTTTTAGTATTTATCTTTAGGAAATAATTGAAGGCATACATCATGTTATCATAACAATCTAATGTGGCAATAAGATCGTAAATATACTGCGCATGTACACAGGGGCCATATTCATCTATATAAACCAATCAAAAACAACATTAACTTTATAGCAGACACTGTAAAAAGCCCATTCCCAGCCACTAAACTTTTCTAACAGGGTATTCGAGTGTCACTGAGTGTCAGAATGTTGTGGGACTGCTATACAAGAGTTAGATTATATATATATATATATATATATATATATATTTTTTTTTTTTATAAAAGCATGGCGATGAAACATGAACACGGTTATGAATGTATTAAAATATGTTTGTTTGTTGTAAAAATGTGTAATAATGACTAAAAATACTAATTTGTGAATCTCCTTACTTCTGGGTGCAGCTATCCTGCCGTTGTGGCTGGTGTATTTCGTAGAAATAATCTTACCTCTTGGTTTCGAGTGTGGTCCTGAAAAATCTTCGTTCGAAGGGCTTTCTACCCCTTTCCCTTAGCCCTACACCTTCAAGCTAAAAAGAATTGGGACACCCCTACCCTTTCACGGGAACGCGGGTAAGGGGAAGGCCTAAGGGGTAGAATTGGGCTACTGTAAGTACAGGTGTGAATAGAGTGTGAAATGTTTTGAGCTTGTCCACTTTCAGAGATAGTCGAAAACACATTCGATCAGATTGCTTTTGACGTGTGGATGCATTCGTGGTTGAACACATTTAAACAGCTGTTAATACTGCAATCTCTCTGCCTGTGAGCTCATTTATAAACAGCAGGATGTGCTCTAGAAGCATGCTGAAGAGAACGATTTAAAGGGTCACGAAACACCCAAACACATTTTTTGAGATGTTGACAGTCATATATATGTAACATGCTACTAAAAAAACTATTAAGACACATATAGTTAACTAAAAAAGTCAAAATGGATTGTTTTTGCATGGTTTCAAGCAAATTTGTTCTTCTATCCATCTTTGAGTTTTCATCATTAATTCAAAAGATAGACTTGGTTTGAACTAATCAGCGTGCTCTATTGTGAATGAGCCGCAACTTCATTAATATGCATGTAGCTTTGAAGCTGTGTTACATTGTTCAGATGGCAGAGAGACACCACGTTTTGTTGCCAACCGTAATTAAAACAAGTAAAGAAGAAGAACTCTTTGGAGACATGGGTCGTCATGGGTTGTTGTGTTTATTAAAAAACTGCCGCAACAAAGGTTTTGTTTTAATTTCCCCACTGTAAGAGCACATCATGTGGTCTCAAATGTGTGGATTGCAGTGGTCTGCTAACACGCGACAAAAATATGTTTGTGAGGAACATTATTTACTTGAGAGATTTTCGCATCTGAAAATGGTGAAATACGGATTAGCCGCTTCTTTTAAAAAAGATGCAGTTCCAGTTTGTGTTGGTTGTCCTGTCTCTACAGATTTGGTAAATGTGTGATCAAAATTCTTTGTTTATGATTATTCAGATGGCTAAGTTAGTATCGTAAGCAGTACTCTTTTAGTTTTTAAAGATATAGAGAGGCCAGAAGGGTGCGATCAAGGTCTGTGTGAGTCCTAATGCCCCAACAAAAGTGAAGGAGACACTAAACTGTCAGTGGGTGCCGTCTTTTGGATGAGACCTTAAACCGAGGTCCTGACTCTCTGTGGTCATTAAAAATCCCATGGCACTTCTTGTAAAGAGTAGGGGTGTAAATGCGGTATCCTGGCCAAAGTCCCTCAATTGGCCCTTACGATTATGGCCTTTCAATCATCGCCATCCACTGAATTGGCTCTATCACTGTCTCTCCACTCCACCAATAGCTGGTGTGTGGTGAGCGCACTGGCGCCTTTGTCCTGCGGCTGCTGTCGCATCATCCAAGTGGATGCTGCACACTGGTGGTGGTGTGGGGGACCCTTCTCATGACTGTGAAGCGCTTTGGGTGTATGGCCATACACAATAAATGGGCTATATTATCACATTACATAACGATATAATATCATGGACTGAAAGATCCGCTGTAAATGCTGCTCTCCGAATGTAAACATGTCATTTGTGACAGGACAGTCTATACACACGGCTGTTTGACACTATTCTCTGCACCTACTGAGTGCATCTAAGTAACCGAGAAATACAGAGGGGCTTGCGGTATCAAAAATTCTATCAAAACTACACTCTTCCAGTAGTTTCTTGCATCAAGTATCTCGTTTGTCATGAAGGGCATGAATAAAAATTAATCCTGAATAAAAGTAAAAGTGCCAAACTGCAATTAAAGTTGTCAAATAAAGAATGAAACACCCAAAATTATGAAAATGCCTCTTTAAAGTTCATGTTAAGTACTGTTTGATTCACTTACTGTACAGTGGACTGTTTATAAGTACTTGATTTCTTTTAGGAATAATATAATCTTCATCATTCAGATAATTGTAAAACTGAAAAAAAAAAAAACCCTGAAATACACGCAGGTACCTGCTTATAAAAACAATTTAAGCGCGTACATGCTTATACTTGCGGATATTTTTTTTCTAATGGCAGTGAACTGTCAGATACGAGGGAGACTCATAGACAACAAAACCAGTTGATTGCATAAACCTAAGAAAGTAAAAGAGTTGCACTTTCAATTCAGTCTGTGTGGACTTTTTTGCGTCACCAATCTAATCAGAAACAGAAAAAAAGGATATTCCCGTGCTGTTGTTTTAATATTTTAAAAAATGTTCATAAATGAAAGACGCCCTAGTTGCCTACACCAAGCTGTTATGCAGACATTTCCAAACCCCTAAACATGACGCAGCACAAACTAAAACATGATCACCAAACATTCTGCTGTTAGCTGCCAGTTAATATGGGTTTGTCAAAGGCCATATTTAAATGACAGAATGCGCCATCAGATGCAGATTTACACCAATAACTGGTGGCATCTGAGAGTGTTCTGTAATTGGTTTGAGTGTTGTTTTTCATCTGTCTTCAATTTTACAATATTGTGTTTCAGAACGTTTAGTCTCATGAATTATGCTTAGAAAAACCTTGGAGCTTCAAAATATTGTGAGGTTACTACCTATTTATGATCTCCACTGTAACACACCAGCAAAACAATCATGGAAATAGCAAATTCTAACAGCGTTTAAATACAGGTGTAATGGCATATTGTTTTAACTTGCCGTTATCACGGTTTGATCCAGCGTCACACTTTGCGAGACTTGTGCAATATTGCTCAGTATTTGCACAACTGTTGAAAGAGTAGCTTGAGAGTTCACTATTTCTTCTTTATTGTCTCCAGTGGCGTTGTTTACCTTATCAACAAATGTTATTAGATTAACGGTGCTTAGAACCTATAGGGGACAAAAAAAGTTTTGAACATGTTAATGTACTGAATATCCTTCCACTTTATTTGCAGTACGGGCCCTTACATTGTACATACACTATGTTTACCTATTGAATGTGCTAGTAAACTACAGATAACTATATGGGTTAAACGCATAGTTTATATTTACTCACCCTTTCTTTTTCTTCTGTTGAACACAGATATTTTGATGAAAGCTGAAAACCTTTAACCATTGACCTCCATAGTAGGAAAAATAGGTAAGTCAATGGTTACAGGTTTCCAACATTTTTCAAAATATTGTTTTTTTTTTTTTTTGCGTTCAATATAATAAAGTAACTCATAAATATTTGACACAAATAAAGGGTGGGTAAATAAGGACACGTTTTTGGGTTGGAGAACGATCCACTTAAGATTAGCTCTAGAAGCAGGTTTAGGGTTAATTTTGGCAATGGTTATTACAAAGTTATTATAAGTATATATTATGCACAATCAGAACCCGACTGTAAAATAAAGTTTACACTGTAGTACATTTCAGAAAAAAATGACTTTGTAATTATTTGTATAATTTTAAAATTGACAAATATGCTTGCAGAAAAGTTAAGCATTAAGTAAAAAGTTAAACAAGCATTGTAAAAAAAGGAAATGCAGTAAAACTGAAAATCAAACCGTTGATTCCTGGCTCAGAACATTAATGATACGAAGAACACAGTTGTCTGTAACAATCTGCCAATTCCCATCAGCTCCACACACTCCTATTTTGAAGCCAACTTGATTTTGGTCACAGTCTCCTTTTTTAGGTGGGTCACCAAATATTCCAAAACCAAACACAACATCTTTGCATGTGGCAGCTGTATAAAAAAACAAAAAAACAGTTTGGTCTAAAGTTATCATTGCAGTAGGCAACCAAAAATTAAAATAAAGGAGTAATGACGAGATCTTCTGTATGATATCTTGTAAATGTAAAGGACTAGTTGATTTAAAAAAATCATTTAAGTCATTATTTACTCATCTTCCACTTGCTCTGAACCGTTTTGAGTTTCTCTTTTGTGTTGAACACAAAGGAATAATAACCAGGAAGAATTAAGGCAGTTCCAAGAAGGCCAAAGGAAGTCTAACCCTGTACTAGTAAGGAGTACCTAATAAAGTGGCCGGGGAGTGTATAATGAAGAATATTGCAAAAAGCAGCCATTTACATCCATAGTATCTTTTGTCCTTTTAAACGGTTGTTTTTATCTGGATCAAAAAAAATTTAAATATCCAAATCTTGTTTCGTGTTCAAGCAAAGATAGAAATTCAGAAAGTTTAGAATCACTTAAGTGTGAATAAATGAGGAATATTTAATTGTAAGGTAACAAATCCCTTTAACTTATGTTCCAAGTAAATACTATCTTAGTAAAACAGAATTTGTACTTACGGCTGTTTGGGACTTGAGGTATTGGACTGGAAACAGACACTTCCGCAGCTCTTGAGCTATATGAGTATCTATAAAGGTCTGCATTGGTCAGTTTGCAAATGAATATGGCTGTTTTTCCACATGAAACTTGAGGTGTGAAACTAATACAATTCTGTGAATCAGTATCTGGGAATACAAAAGAAACAAAAATGACATTGCCCTTCCAAGAATGAATTTGTACAATTACACAATTCCCCCACTGCTGATAAACACTTACTGGAGATTAGTATTTGTGTTTCCTGCATCCACTGCACTGAGTAATCAGAACTCACACAGCACTTAAGTTCCACTGACTGACCATTACATTCGTATGTTTTGTTCGAGGTCAGTTGAATAGCAGGATAGGGCTTAATATAATCAATTGTTTCCCAAAAAATATGTGGCCCTTTGTCTGTGTTAAACAAACATTCGTAACGACCTACAAAAATAAAAGAGACGTAGAATTATTTCAGTTTCAAAGATATGAGAATGGTTTAAATAGGTCATGCAATCTTCCTATACAGATTTTTTACATGCTTTCTTTTTTAAATAAAGCGTTCTACAATTTAGGTGTATTTTCCTATAATGATGCAATAGTATAAAGCGACTTTTATAGGGACAAATAACAGTTTTTGTTTGTATTTGTTGCAGCAGTTCTCATTTCTGCAAAGTCATAAAATGTATATACAGGTATATTAACAAATTTTGTCATTTCAAACATGATGTAGGGATCAGTGATAAAAATATATATTGTGGTATTCATTGCGGTAATGATATTAATGATGATATAATTCATAAGTATCAACCTAAAGACAGACATTCTTGTATCTTTAGAGAAAAGTATCACTTATAATTATTATTTATTTATTTTAGGCTGCTGGATGCCTACTATTCAGCAGAGCTCAACCATAATCAAACACCCTGAAGCAGCTAATCAATTTTAGGATCATATAATACATAAGCAGACGTGCTAAAGCAGGATGTAAATTAACTTTGCTTCTGGGGACCCACTGTCCTGCAGAGTTCAAGACCTCTTAAGTGGTGTTTTGTGATTACACACTGTGATCGTATTTATGCGATGCTAGTAGAGTGCTAGAGGGCGCCATTGGGCTTAAACACCACATAAAGATTATTGAAGAAAAGATGCTAAATATAGAAAAGAAGATAAATATATATTACGGCAGTCAAATGATTAAAAAAATTAACGCAATTAATCACACTTTTTTGTAATTAAAACACACGTAGACCACAACAGGAAATAAAAAAAACTGCAACTGCATCATTTGCGTTATTTTTTGCATCAGAATTATAAGCTCTCTGTTTATTTTTTGCCTAATTTCTGTTTAACGGAGGGAAAAAATTTCAACACATTTCTAAACATAATAGTTATAATAACTCATTTCTAATAACTGATTTATTTTATCTTTGCCATGATGACATAAATATTTTACTAGATGTTTTTCAAGACACTTCTATACAGCTTAAAGTGACATTTAAAGGCTTAACTAGGTTTATTAGGTTAACTAGGCAGGTTAGGGTAATTAGGCAAGTTATTATATATATATATATATATTATACAACAGTTCTGTCTGGTTCTCGAATCTGATTGGCTGATAGCCGTGATATATTTTAGTAATATCAGCACCCGTACAGCCTCTTTACCCTTTGTGTATTACCCCGCCCACATACAGCCAGCTAAAAGCAGACACTACAGAATTAAAGTTTAAAAGATGCTTGCTCAGCTGTTTAACTGTCAGCTTACGATTTGAATTCAATGCGGAAGAAAGTAGTTCCTCATACAAAAGGGTTTTTGAGACTCTCCATGTTGTCATTTTGTTTTTATATACATAATTATGCCGTCAAACTGTTGTACAAACGCAATATCACACGAGTAGCAGTGCGATATGGCTGTATATTGCCACTATATATATATATATATATATATATATATATATATATATATATATATATATATATATATATATATATATATATTATCAGACATTCTGGAATGTATGGAAACATGGAATACATATATATAAATATGGAAACATATTTAATACTTTATATTAAAGGCTTTTTTAGTGATGGCAGCTTAAGGATGACTCTTATATAGAGAATGAAGTTACACGCATTGCTTATGTCAAATCTTAATGGTTCTGTGGGTCTGGTCAATCAAATCTGTCCTTTATTTTGTATTTTACGTTGAATTCAAGCCAGCTGATGGGCTGGGCCATTCTACAGCTTTTCTTTAGATTTCAGATTTTCTTTCTCTGAAAAGATTTGAAAGATTCTTTGGCTGTGCTTTGGATCTTTGTATTGCTGAAATGGCCACCCTGGTTTCATCTTCTTTGTCCTGATAATGTAGACGTTACACTGAAGAAGCTGATATTAATTTACAAAAAGGAAGGGCAAAGGGTTGCTGAAAAACTATTGAGAGAGCTGCTGTACGTCTGGGCTTTCACTGACTTTCTACAGCTTCTTTTATTCATGTGTTCAATACTTTTTCCCTGCACCATTTCACTTTATTATGCACAACTTACTTTGTAAACTAATTAGATTTTTTTTTTTTTCATTTGCATATATGGATTTATTTGTGTGTTTGGTTGGTACTACTTCTGGACAGACAGACAAACAGACAGACAGATATTTCAGTGGGTTTAAACTTACCATTATCTCTAATGTCAACACTTTTAACTGTGAGTGTGCGATTATCTGCTGAGGACACATGATGAGGTTTTGGCTGTATTATAGTTCCTTGAAACCTCCAGTCTATATTACCAATTGCATTGTTTGCTTGACACGATAGTGTCATATCTTCTTCAGGAAACACAGAGTCTCTTGTGCTCAGCTTTATGTTCTCTAAAATATATAGATTTAGATGTTAAAGAAACCCCTACAAACAACTTCAATGGGTTTTCATTATTAAAATATTATTTTGAAATATACAGTTAATTCTATTTTCGTACTATATCATTTTGCAGATTTGTTCTAAAGAAAAAAACACAGCATTTCTTTTACCACTTTGAGCGACCGAAGCGGTGTCAACTGTGTACTTCAGATCCTGCATGTTGGTGACGATCGCTTGACTTGTTTCCACAGAAATTGCTACTTCTGTAGATGATGTGATAAAAAAGTCTACGACCACACTTCCGGGCCTGCTCAAACACAAAAGCTATTTAGAAACTAGAAATTGTGCATTGCTACAACAAAAGTATAATGACCATACCATAGCAGAAACTGAAGGAAGGAAAATATATCATACCTAAAACCAGTGACAGTCGCAGAAATGAAACCTTTTACACCCTTGTAACTTTCACTGATCTACATGAGACAATAGAATTTTTAGTTCATAGAAATGAATATCGTGTGCAAAAAATAAGTTAATAATGTGAAGTTGTCACATTTTTGATCTTAGCATTACATTTTCAAGCAACATTCTCTTTAAATTCATACACTAACTTACAGTCTTTCGGCAATTTTGACATTTCATTAAAACTGCATAGAGAAAGTTTAGACACTTACTGCCTTCTCAATATCGGATTTGTATTTCTTGAATTTGTCACTGTTTACGTTATGCAGGTTTGCATCAAAAGTCTCTTTTAATGAAAGTGACATGGGATAACTTACTGGAGTACAACAAAAAGAAAAAGGAGTGAGAATAGCTCAGTCATTACACACAAACAAGCACACAAACAACACTAAACAAGCTGGCATTGCATGTGACATTATTGTCTCATTGCCAATATTGATCTCAAAGATGTCCATATTGATATCTATAGATGTTTGCAAAGAAATGACTGGATGATTGCAGTCGTTTATTTAAAATATATTGTCCACATACTCGTTATCATGGATACTGCAATTATTGCTTTTGTATGTAGCTTACATTTAGTCAAACATCAGGGGCCTCATGTACAAAAACTTGCGTGGAAATCATACTAAAACATTGTGTACGCACAAAGCTGTAAATGTGCGAAAAAAATTCAGCTGTATGAAACACTGCGTACGCTGAATGCCACGCATATTCTTTTGTATATCCGAATGAACGTGAAACTGAGCGCAACATGCACGAGCGCAAAACCCCTCCCTGCCTCCTCCCCCATATGAATATGCTAATGACTCTACTTTGCCAAAACCAAAGGAAAAAGCAATGGCAAAAACATGCGAAAAGAGAAACTTTGAACAGAATGTGAATTAGAGGTGCTCCTTTCGGAGGTAGACCGGAGAAAAATGGTGTTATTTGCAAGATTGTCCACCGGAATTAATAACAAAAGAAAAAATTGAGTGGGAGAGTTTAGCTGATGCGGTTAACACAGTTGGGTCTGAACATCTCACTGATTGAATTAAAAAAAAATTGTGTGATTTATATCTGTAAAATGTTGCAGTATCTTCAACAGTCTCTGTGGTGCAGCTCGTAAAACCCATGTCAACATGTTTTGACACGTTTGAGCATGAACTCGGTTTGAATCCATCGTCTGGTGAACTCAATTATCTTTTTTCCCCCACTGCATATCAGATTTTGCCTATTTATCACAAAGAAGACAAGTAGGAATCATTAATAAGTTTGTGTATCATATTTTATTTGCACATTTATTAAATGGAAATGTTTCTGTTTCACGTATGCAAATTCATCTTCAGATGGCGCCTTTATAGCAATGTGCGTGCAGTAGATCGCTCCCATTACATTGAGAAAACAGGCGACCGCTGCAAATTGCACTTTGATGTTTGGCTGGTCAACTGTATGGTATGGAAACCTTATATACCTGCTAGATGAACCCGTCTCATACAGCTGTCAATGCACGGCTCAAAGAAACTTTGTAGAGAGCAATTTAACACAACTGCCTCTAGGAGTCGCCAATGGAAATAAAACAGACACGCACAAAAAATGTGCGTACGCCAGCCATAAAGCTGGCGTGGAGCTGCGCACATTCCCACATTCAGTTCATCGTTAGTAAATCCAAACGTGAGCGATTCTGAGCGTGAAACCTGGCGTACGCAAAGTTTTTGTGCGTACGCAGCGTTGATACATGAGGCCCCAGTTTTTTATACCAGACACTCAAAAAACTGCAACTGTGCAACCTCGAACAGAAAACCAATCCTTTTTTTCAGAAATATTTTAAAATTGTAATAATAATATAATAAATTATATTTAAGGAATGTTTTTATGCACATTAAACAACTTTGTCTTCAGATTTCTTTCTGTTGCTGCATTTCTAGAGTTTACCAAGAAAATATTGGAAATTGTACTTACCAGGTGCCTGGGTTGTTGGTATTGGTGTTTCTGGTTTAGGTGTTTGTGTTATTATTATTACTTTTGTAGTTGGCAGTGGCGTTGTTGTTGTTGTCGTTGTTGTTGGCAGTGGTGTTGTTGGCAGTTGTGTTGTTGTTGTCGTTGGCGGTGGTGTTGTTGTTGTTGTTGTTGTTGGTGGTGGCGTTGTTGTAGTCATTGGCGGGGGTGTTGTTGTTGGAGGTGGCGTTGTTGTCGTTGGTGGTGTTGTTGTTGTTGGCGGTGGTGGTGTTGTTGTCGTTGTTGTTGTCGTTGTTGGCGGTGTTGTTGTTGTTGGCAGTGGTGTTGTTGTTGTTGTTGTTGGTGGTGGTGTTGTTGTTGGCTGTGGTGTTGTTGTTGTTGTTGGCGGTGGTGTTGTTGTTGTTGTTGTCATTGGCGGTGGCGTTGTTGTTGGCTGTGGTGTTGTTGTTGTTGGTGGTGGCGTTGTTGTTGTTGGTGGTGATGGCGTTGTTGTTGGCTGTGGTGTTGTTGTTGGCAGTGTTGTTGTCGTTGTTGTTGGTGGTGGTGTTGTTGTTGTCGTTGGCGGTGGTGTTGTTGTTGTTGGTGTTGTTGTTGGCTGTGGTGTTGTTGTTGTTGGCGTTGTTGTTGGCGTTGATGTTGTTGTCGTTGGCGGCGGTGTTGGTGGTGCTGGTGTTGTCATTAGCGGTGGAGTTGTTGTTGTTGTTGTTGTCGGTAGTGGTGTCATTGTTGTTAGCACTGGTGGTGTTGTTGTTGTCGTTGTTGGGGATGGTGTTGTCGTTGTTATTGGCAGTGGGGTTGTTGGCAGTGGTGTTGTTGTCGGTGGTGTTGTTGTTGTCTGTGGTGTTGTCGTTGTTGTTGACAGTGGTGTTGTTGTCATTGTTGTTGGCGGTGGTATTGTCGTTGTTGTTGTGTTGGTTGTTTGTGGCGTTGTTGTTGTCGTTGCTGGCAGTGGCGTTGTTGTTGTTGTTAGTGGTGATGCTGTTGCCGTTGTTGTTGTTGTTGGTGGTTCTGTTGTGGTAGACTGGTCTAAGGATAGAGAACAAAATAAATGAACACATTTTTATCCTTTCATTAACACATAGATGCTTGCATTTTCATTAATGTTGCATCAAACAGTATTAGGGTTCAGAAGTGCACTTGTTAGGAGGAATTCATACTTTAAAGCAAAGTTTACAAGCAATATGAAAATGTATAATTATGTGATGGTGTGTTCAAACCACATCGGAATTACTAAAGTCAGTACATTGATTCCAACTTGTGTAAAGTATTTACAATGACAAGTAATTACAAATTCTAGACTGTAAACAACTTGACCCACAACACCGTATCATCTGACTGCTGCTTTGTTATAGAAACATACAGTGTTATGTGAAAGTTTGAGAGAATCAATGAAATAAAATAAAACATACACAAAATGCACATTTAGTAGTGTGCTGAGTAGGATGTTTTACGTAACAGAAATTTACATAGATTTCCCAAGACAAAAACATAGCTGAACTTGATGGTGACATTTTTAATTAATTAAAGATCATAAAAAAAGTTCAAATGCTCATTGATGCATTTATCTAGAGCAACTAACAAATGGTGATAAAACTAACAAAACTATAAACACATTGAATTTGAAGTTAATTAACTACTGTAATTTGCTTTCTGAGAAATTCTGCATTACAGTATATTCTGTAATTTACAAAATTTCTAAATGAGGTATTTTATTTTAACAAAATAAGAAAAATGTTGACATCTTCATCCTGTTCAGAAGTTTTCACATTTTAAAAGTTTTTAATGCATTGTGTATCCTTTAAAAGCATCATTCTTTTAAAGGAAACACCAGTTTGCACATTAGCCCCAGACACTTGGTTCAAACACTCCATATCTCTAGAAAAAAGAAAACTGTGCAGTTCTGAGTGTGCTTCACATGGAAAAGTGAGCTTGACAAACCACCTGTAGAAACACTCTTCTTTCTATATGTACTGGCAGTGATGTAAAGTAACTAATTATAAATAATTAAATTACTGTAATTGAGTAGTTTTTCTCAGGAATTGTAATTTAGTAAGTCGATTTTTTTTAAATGTGTAATTTTACTTTCCTTTGAGTACATTTTCAGTGCAGTAATCATTACTTTTACTCCACTACTTTATTTTTTCTTGTCTATGGGGATTAGAAAAATCAGTCCTGTGATTCCTGTCCAATCAAATCACACATAGAAGGTATATCGCCTCATAATGAACTACCTCAAAATAGGGTTGATTAAAAGAAATATATTATTGCAATTCAAATATATAATATATGAATTGATGTTTACTTTGAACTAATTATAAATATATATATTTATATTGTTCAATTATAATGATAAAAATATATATATTTTTTGTCAAATAATTTTGTGACAAAAAAAAAAGTATCGGTTCAGGCACCGTTTTGGCACCGTTACCGTATTAATTTAGCACTGGTATTAAAATAACCCCAAAAGATACACAACCCTACCTCAAAACATGTGCGCTTTATAATTGCAGCAAACTGTTTGGAAGCATTAAAAGTGTACAAGATGTCCAAAATCTTTACATGAATTGACCCAGAGACTGTTTAGATGCATGCCACTGATGAGAAGATGACGAATGTTTACTGTATGGTGATCGAAATGGCTTTACACATCCAGCAGGCACAAGATGTCAACATGATGTCAGAATGAAGTGTTACCCCAGTCAGTGTCATGGGGGTGTTTCATTTTGTTTTTCCATGAAAATCATGGAAGTGTCAGCATGTGATGCCAAAATGATGTTAGCTGTTTGCTCGACATTGGATTTTGGTCACTTTCCAACACAACCTAAAGTCAACCAAATATCAACGTCATTTGATGTTGTTATTGAACAAATAACATTGTCCTTAGACGCTGACTAGACAATCTAACCTAATGTTAATGTCTTATGATGTTGTGTGCCTGCTGGGCAATAAGTTGATGTACTACAGAATGTTACGTTTACACACAAATGGACAAATTACATGTAAACGGATCAGCTTTTAAAAGCGTAATACACACATGTAATGAAGTTTACGGCCCTTTGGCCGCCGGGAAGAAGGAGGCGGAGAACCGACGGAGTTTTAAAATGATTTATTAATAATAATAATGACGGCAGCTCCTCACGGAGACTGCCATTTAAATCAAAACAAACGGACGGCAGCTCCTCGCGGAGACTGCCGTCAAACTGAAAGCAAAAGTAAAATAACATGCCCGGGCCCGGTCCTCTCTCGGCTTCCTCTGCCATCGGTCCTCCTTTTATGGTCCAGAGCTCCTTCCGTGGGATCCGAGGCAGGTGCGCACCGCACGTGTATCCACTCACGCGGTGGCCTCACCCCGTTCCCACGGCTCTCGGCCACGCCCCCTCGCCACATACCCCCATCTCCCATCACAGGCCGGGGAGGGGGTTTGGCGCCACAGCACCCGCGAGACCTATATGAGACGGGCCGAGAGAAAAGGAGATGGAAAAAAAAAAGGAGGAAAGACAGAGTCGACCGAGAAAGGGGAGAGAGGAAAAAAAAAAAAATTGGGGTTCGGTTCTCCAGACACGCTGCCACTCGGTCCTCCACCAGCTGAGAGATGCGACGACGTGCTGGGAGCCCTGTGGAGGAATCTATCCACCCGTCCGTCTTCTGGCGTCCGGCGGCGGTTCTCCTGGCTGG